TACTTGAAGTACCTTCCTCCAAAGGGAAAGATCAAGCACTGGCTATCCAAAGCCTTGTTGAATATTAGGACTTAAAAGACCAGATCATAGCTTGTTGTACTGACACAACTCGCTCGAACACTGCAAAGCGTAATGGTGCAATTAGAAACATCGCTGTTTATTCTCTACCTTGTCCAATTCTTTGGCTAATGTGCAGGTATGATGTTTTACTTTACAAAATCCAGGTATTTATTTTCTTTTTCTTTTTTCTGAGAGTAATGACAGAAAATGGGAATTTTAAATTTAGGCACCATATAATGGAACGACATGTTCATCATGTGATGGTGGAACTACAGGAAGAAACAAAAGGACCCCGTCGATTCTTATACAAGAAACATCAAGATCTTTGGGCTAAGATTGAAAAAGGTGTGAATACATTGACCAACACTGAGAAATTTGATTGGAACAAACCTGAGTTTGCTTTTGGAACCCTCTTTTACAATCTTGCAAATGAAACCATGGAGTTCTGCACAACATCTCTTAAAACAAATATTTTTGACAGAGGTGATTATAAGTATTTATGTCAACTGATAGCTTTTTACCTTGGAGGAGGTTTATTGAACTTCAGGTTTCTACAACCTGGTGTACATCATGAAGCAAGATTTATGGCTGATTCATTATATCTGTTAGCAATGCAAATAACCAAGAATTACAACAAGCAACTCAGTATCAATGAGATTAAAATGATACAAGATGCAACAGATTATATAGTGATTTTTCACTGTTTATTCTTCCTGAAGAACCCAATGGCAGCTCGGGCTCCATCCAATGACCTTAGAGCATTCAAGATTTCATCACAGATTATGATAGATCTAATTTACTCCAAAAAGTACGGAAAGATTGGCAAAGCTCTTAATCTTAGTATTCTCAGACACACTTAATATTTTACACCACGGTGTATCTTTGCTTTAGCTGACCAGCGCTTAGAAGAGAAAGAGAGGATGGATATTCTTGTGGAATTGTTAAAATATGATGTTCCAGAGGTGAACATCTTTAACAAAGAGCAACCAGAACCTTTTACACAAGTTTGCCCCCTCTCAAAACTATCAGACTTTGTTTCTCAGGAGCCTTACCTCTTTTTTCTCCATCTTGGTATAACCAAGGATGACATTCTTGTATGGAAAGAAGAAGGCATGTCAAATTTGGAGAAAAATCTCAACAATAGATTTTTTAAGACATTTGTGTCCAGTGTACGCCAGTTAGCATTTGTTAATGACAGGGCTCAATGACACATCAAATTGGTGCAGGATTTCATTGACAGGACACATTCCGAAGACAGGCCCCAAGACACAATGATGGTGGTTTTAGACAACCGGCGGAAGGTGTCTAAACATGCCACTAAACAAGACTTAAAGAATGTTTAAATAAAAAAAGCACTTTATGGCTGTATTTATGTTTTTGAAATATATTTTTTCTAACAAAAGTTTACTAATTTTTGCACCAATTTTTTTTTTCTATTCCATAGTATTTTGTTTTAAAAAACATTTCAAAACAATGCAATTTTAATAAAGAATAAATTAGTTATGCATTTTTTTCAAAGTTGCAGTAACTATAGCAGTCAGAATTAATGCAATGGATGATTAATATAAAGTTAACTTGATTATTTTATAAAAATATTGAATACTACAAAAGTTTTGATAAATAAATGCAAAAAAATCTCATTAAAATTTTATGGTGGTCTACTGGGACCAAATAAGGAGGATTTACATAGTGCACAATGTTGAATTCAAAATTTTTTTTTTTGGGACACCTTAATATATATATATAGGACAAATTATATATAAATATATATATATATATATATATATATATATATATATATATATATATATATATATATATATATATATATATATGTATATATATATGTATATATATATATATATTAGGGCTGTTCAGTATGCTAATTTGTTTTCAGAACATAGCTAATTGAAGTTTTTCCCATTCAACTATCATATTGTGGTTCAAAAATATTTTTTACTAAATTTTATTATTTGCCCTAAAGGTCCCTCAAAGCCACTAAACATTTGACAGGTTCCTAATATTATTAAAAAAAAATTATTTAAAAATATGTCAACTTGGTACTCAAAAGAAGCAAAATTTTATAAAAATTTTAAAAATTAGATTTATTTTTTATAAAAAACAACTTAAAAAAACTTATTATCAAAAATGTTGTGAATATTACCTTTTTTTCATTTTTTGTTTAAAAACCATAGTTTTTATTCAAAAAAACCTAATATTGTTTTTTTTATAAAAAATACTTTTTGTTTTTAAAATTTTTAAATGATTTTGCTTCTTTTGACTACCAAGTTGACATATTTTTAAATAATTTTTTTTAATAATATTAGGGACCTGTCAAATGTTTAGGGGCTTTGAGGGACCTTCAGGGCAAATAATAAAATTTAGTAAAAAATATTTTTGAACCACAATATGATAGTTGAATGGGAAAAACTTCAATTAGCTATGCTGTGAAAACAAATTAGCATACTGAACAGCCCTAATATATATATATATATATATATATATATATATATATATATATATATATATATATATATATATATATATATATATATATATATATATATATATATATATATATATATATATATATATATATATATATATATATATATACAGGGTGCGGGGGAGGGTGGTGCTATTACAATTTTGCTGTTTTAATGAATTAATGCAGTAAATAGTCAGTTAATTTTATGCAGTCAAGCAATTTTTAAACTTTTTTTTTTTGAAATTCACAATTTTTAAAAAAATGAAAATTTTAAATTTTCAAATACTAAAAAAATAAAAATTCTGTATGGCTTAAAATTTTCTTTATACGCATCTACTAGAGCTTTCGAAGCGTTTTAGAAAATGGGAATCCGTAATCTTATTCGTCTCAGTATCAGATAGAATTATTCTACCAGTTCTGATTCGAATTTGGTAGAAGTTTAGGTAAAATTTAAATAATCCTTTATTGTGCTCATAAATATTACAATTAGTAATATTCTTAATTTCATTAGTTATTTTTATCAAAACTTTGTAAATTTGTTCGCATGGTATATCATTGTTAATAAAATTTAATTATAAAATAAAAGTTAGAAGGGCTTTAGACATGCTTTTAGCGCCCTACTAGTTTCTTAACGTTCCACTTTGTTTAAACTTAGTGTTTCCCATTATATGTTTGTACCTCTCAGGAGTGTGGTATCATTAAAAAAAAAGTACCAACTCCAACTTTATATCAATGAAGTATAAGTAATGATGTTAAAAATTCATCTAATATGTGATAATGTGATAATGTTAATTATGAAATTTTATTTTTTTGTTTAAAACTTTTTGTTTAAATGATTTTTAAATATTTTAGCGGTTGTTAGCATTTCAACAATTCTTAATTATTTGCTATTTTGAATTTCTTAATTTTCTCAGTTATTTTCTGTTTTAATTCTGATCTATATTTTATATATTTGTATTATATATATTTGTATGTTACGGTTATGTAGAGTTTTTTTTATGTAGAGTTTTTTTTTTATATGTGGGGCTCGGCGATAAGGCAAACTGTACCTTCTTCTTGCTCCTGCTATTAATTTTGATATATATATATGCAATGTAAACATTCTTTAACGGCGAAATAAATTACACCAAAAAAAAAAAAAAACTCCGACTCCAATTGTTGAAATTTTCAGAGTACGACTCCGATTCAGACTCAGACTCCAACTCCAACTCCGACTTCAAAGCAAAGTTTTTGAAAAATTCTTTGAATTCTTTAAAAAATATTACGCGATAATTAAAAAACTTTTTTTTTGCCAAATATATGAAAAAATTTTTTTGAAGGTTAAATATTTGTGCACGTGCAATACCAAGAAGCTTTACTATTGGAGTCGGAGTCGCGATTTTGTTTAGTGACTCCAAATCCGCTAAAACTATCGCGACTCCGAATCCGCGACTCCGAATCCACGACTCCGACTCCGACTCTAAAGCCCTGGTACCTGTGAAAACTATTTTAACATTTCTGTAATATTTTTCGAAGAAAGTACTAGAAAATAACTTGAGTCATGAATGAGTTTTTTTTAATAATATTTAAGTATTTAAACGCTTAAACGTTGACAACGATCAATCCTACATACGAGTGCTATAAACATTATCTCGACGCGTACTTGTTTCAACGCCATGCTTGTTTTTGCTTTTTAATACTTTTAACATTTTTATTTATAGTTTTAAATGCAATATTTAAATTAAGTATATTTAACGTATAATAAAAAATTGATTAACGCGATGTTTGAAAAATTTAAATATATGTCAAATGAATTTATCTACTTTACAGATCTAATCTTTTTTTAATTCAAATTCTAAATGACAAAAGACAACTCTCAATTAAATTTAAAATCTTTTGTAAATTTATTCTTCTATATCATTTAATACCACTAGAAATCAAGTTGTTTTGTAATCAATCATAAGAATATTTTTTTAGTAATATTACACTATGTAACGAATTTTGCACACACCCCCTCAATACTAATAAAACTGACGTACATCTCCTCAATACTAATAAAACTTACATATCTCCTCAATAAATGTTACTTAGTTTTACATTATTCACAAAGAGCTGTAAATATTTTACATATTTTTATTAAAGGTTTAATGAAAAACAAGTCTATAAGAATTAAAAAAAAATGATTTTAAAATCGATATAACAGACTTTTACACGTTTATTTTTATGCAATATGCACAATAACATTTTAAAATAATTTATCAAAAAATTAAAACATTTAAAGTAGTTTAAGCTTTTGAAAAATAACGGAATTCAAAATTGTATTAAAGATTTTTTGTGCTAATGCGTTGCTATGTTAAATATTTTATTCGACTTTAAAGATATGAGTTCAGTCTGCCTCTAATGTATTGTGTATTTAATAGATCTTGTATTTGTGTATGTATACGTATCTGTACATAATAGATTAGATAATAGATTTAATAGATGATGTATTTACTAGATCAGAGGACGGAAAAAATGGTGTAAATAAAAATATAAAACTATGATTTATTTATTCAGTCAGCTTTTTGCATTACGTGTGACAAAAAAGTGATAAAAGGAACTGATTTTGTTTTTTTTTATTTTAAAGAAACTGGAAAGTATTGATAATGTAGTAAAAAGTTCACCAAGACTTGATTTAAAAAAAGCAGTTTAAACAAAAACAGCAAATATGGCGGGCGCAGGCCCAATTTCTGAAACTCTTCCTGTAATTTCAGTTCCCCCCATGCTTGTAAATGGAGGTAGATTTCTAAAATGGGACGATGTAAGTTTTCAAAATTATTTTGATAGATTTTAATATACATTAAATTACTTTTAAACAAATGTTAAATGTTTTAAATATGGATATAATCGAAATATATATATTAGATAAATGCAAAATAGTTTGAAAAAAATAAAATTTACTTGAAAATTTATTAATAATACAAAACAACGAATATCATTTTGTGAATGATATTCGTTGTTTTGTAGTACAAAATGTTCGTATATCTTCAAATTTAACGTAAAGGGAAAATTTATAAGAAGTTATACAATATTCAAAATAAAAAAAAAAATTTCAAGTATTCGAGTAACTATTTTTTCGAGTAACTATTTTTGACATTAGAAGTTGTAAGAAGTTTGTAAATAATAGAACAATAGCGGCTTTTATGTGCTTTATCCGCAAAAAGTTTAAATAAAATAATTTTTAACATTTAAAGTAAACAATATCGCAACTTTTTTTTATAGTTTATTTACGGGTTGTTATAATAATTATTTGCAACATTTTTTCAGTTAAGATATGACTCCAACAGGTAAAAAAACAAAAATATTAATATCTGGCCCGGTTGATGACGTTTATATATTTTTAAAAAATCAATAAAATAAAAAAAAGTACGATTTCAGTAAAATATTTACAAATGCAATTCGATTTATACTTTTGTTAATTCATTTATATGTTTAATTTTTAATTTTTTTAAACCTAATTTAAATGCATTATTTAAATAGTTTAAAATAAAATTTCAAAAAAAAAAAAAGATTTAAAAAAAACTCAATAATTTATAAAAAAAATTAATAGAAAATTCAATAAATCCTTTTTGTTTTATAGTAAATTAATAAATATATTAGGAAATAATACATTTGCTTTAAAAATGTTTAATATTTCTCTTTTTCGTTATAATTTTTATTACATAGTGTAACTTGAATATAAACAAAAAAACGTATCCAGGAAACAGCAACGTAGATAATTTTTAAAAATAGATAACAAATAATCAAAATTACTGTCTGACTCAGAAATTATTTTACTATTGTTTTTGAGTTCTGTTATTATCAAGTATCTTTATATCCAATTTGTTAAATTTTTTTTGAAAGATTTAATCAAATATTTAAAACAGTATTCAGTGTTCATGAAATAGCTATATTAACAATATATATGCATATATGTATTACCTTAATAGTTAAGTTAGAGTGTAAATGAATAAGTAATTTTTCTGAAACACATTTACGAAATTGCAAAAAAAAAAAAAAAAAAAAAAAAAAAAAAAAAAAAAAAATTTAATAATATTTAGATAATGTCAAATTTATTACAAAAATTGAAATAAATACTGTTACTAATGATAAGATTTTATCTTCTTCAAGTTCTCCGGCATCGTAACTACTATAAATAATGAAATGTACTTAATATTTTTAAATATTTTATCGGAAATAACCTTTAATTGTATATGATTGCTTGACAAAAATAAATAACTAAATAAATATATATAAATTTTTTTTAACTTTTTTTTCAGTTTTTACTCGAGCAGCACTCTGCAGATATTGATTTATATATACTTAATAAACACATATTAATTACTGCAAATAAGTAAAAAATAAATTCAATATTTGATAAACAATTTTTTTTTGTCCAACAAGTTTGCATTTTTATTCGGCAAACTTTTATTCTTAAAAAGTGGATGGTATAGTCAACCCCCCTCCCCCTCCAAAATATTACTGGATGGCTCTGATGACAGCTGGTATTGCATTAAGTTGATGCAAGTTGGCATAAGTGCGAACTGGCCGATTTGCGCTTATGCCAATGTTTGCCAATTTGTTCGGCGCACTTATGCCAATTTGCACTTGTGCCAATTTTTGCAACTGCTTTGCACTTATGCCAGTTCGCACTTATGCCAATTCGAACTTATGCCAATGTTTGCAAATTCCTTTGGCGCACTTATGCCAAATCGCACTTATGCCAGTTTCAGTTTATGTAACTGTTTCGCATTTATGCCAGTTCGCACTTATGCCAGTTCGCACTTATGCCAATTCGCACTTATGCCAGTTCGCACTTACGCCATTCGCATTTATGCCAGTTCGCACTTATGAAAATCGCGCTTATTCAGTCGTCCCTTTTGAAACGTGTTCGCAATATTCCAGAGAGAAGAAATTCTGAAGACGTGATTAATGAAAGAATTTTGAAATATGAAGCATAAACAAGTGCATTTAATACAGAAAGTTTTTTTATATTTTATTCGTCTAGTATTAACACAATTAGCTGTTAATGAAGTTGTTGGAGTTATCTTAATTTTAGACGGCATTCATTTTTATAAGGAGGCTGTTGTTCAAAACAAAATAGTACGAGCTGGCATTCTTTGATACTTTTACCTCCATATTCTCACTTTTTAAATCCTATTGAAAATATGTTTTCTGAATAATAACAGTTTATCAAAAGATGTTTGTCTAGAACTGATAAAAAACTACTTGAAAATATACAAAACGGCGCATCTGATAATATTAATACGCTAATTTAATAGTAGTAGTTAATAGTCAACCTACGTCATTTTCTAGGCTTTTCTATTTTAAAGTAGTTTATAGGCTTTTCTATACGCGGTTTTTTTTTAAATTTATTTATTAACAACCTGTATAACGGGTTGCTTATTGCTAGTTGAATATTATTAGCACAAACTGTAATAATTATTTTAGGCATATTCTTAGGTATATGATTCCGTATATAAGAGAACCAATTGTCGAAAAAAGAATTTACTTATGTATTTTTTATTTTTGTTAAGCGAGTATTTGCAACTATAATGTTTTATACATCATACTTTTTTATTTAAACTTTAGATTATATATTAAATAAAAATTTTAATTTGTATAAATAAAATATTGTAATTAAATAAAAAAATATATTATCTAAATGAATTCAAAAAGAATCTAATTGTTTTATTTTTATATTAATTAAAGTATTCTTAGCGCTGTCGAAATTGAATGCAAAACAGTCGAAATCAAATGCAACGGTGTCGAAATTGAATGAACCATTATCAAAATGTACTAATACAATGTCGAAATTGAACGATACGTAGTCTAAATGAAATGGGAAACCCTGTAAATAAGGATTTAATCTGTGCTCTCCTAGGAGATAGCCAAAGGCGTCACGATAGGGTAAACAAGATACAGGGCTTCTCACTTCATTTTGACGACATATCATTCAATTTTGACATGGTATCAGTACATTTCGACAATTTTTCATTTAATTTTGACACCGTTACATTTGATTTCGACTGTTTTGCATTCAATTTCAACAGCGCTAAGAATACTTTAAAAAACAGAAACGAAACAGTTAGATTCTTTGTAAATTCATTTAAATAATATAATTTTTTAGTTTGTATACAAAATAAAGCTTAAACAAAAATTTATCATATATAAAATATTGCAATTGTAAATACTTGCCTAATAATAATAAAAAAATACTTAAGTAAGTTTATTCTTCAATAATTGGTTCCCTTCTTATATTTAAATATGTGCCCAAAATACCCGTTGGAAAATGAGTTAGCGAATAGCTGGTTTTATAGCAATTTTCAAGCCATTTATTTTTTCTAATTTTAATTTTTCCTAATGTCTTTAATATCTTTAAAAATTCGATTTTAAGTGTTGAGTCTATTATAATTATGAGAATAATTGAACGTTAAACATTGCGATTTTGTAGTAATGTGTCGCTAGCTACATATCGTAACATTGTAGCTAGCTACAAAATATCTACGAATCTATGGCTGGTTGATAGCTACATATCAAAATTTTTTAGACAGCGATTTTATTATGATATGACGCCAGTTACAATAGCCAGTGGATATTTATCTTATTAAGTTAGCTGTCCTCGTAGCCAAATTGCTGTCCTTATCTTTACAAATATCGATAGCTTTTCGCTAACTTAAGAAAACTAGTAATCCTCGTGGCTAAATCACTGTCTTTATTGTTACAATTGTTTTCTATTTGCTAGTCGATTTCCCACCAGGTAATTATTACAGTTTGTGCTAATCATATTCAATGTACCGTTTTGTATATTTTCAACCAGGTCCTCTTCAGTTCTAGACAAACATCTTCTAATGAACTGTTTCCATTCAGAAAACATATTTTTAATAGGATTTAAAAAGTGAGAATATGGAGGTAAAATTATCAAAGAATGCCAGCTCGTACTATTTCGTCTTGAACAACAGCAGCCTTATGAAAACGAACTCTGTCTAAAATTAAGATAACTTCAACAACTTCATTAACAGCTTATTGTGTTAATACTAGACGAATAAAATATAAAAAACGTTCTGTATTAAATGCACTTGTTTGTGCTTCATATTTCAAAATTCTATCATTAATCACGTCTTCAGAATTTCTTCTCTCTGGAATATTGTAAACACGTTTCAAAGTATAATTAAAACTATCAATGCATCTTACTATAGTGGAATGACTGACTGAAATGGATTTTTGTTTAAAAAGTCTTTGTATAATTTCCTTAAGAGTTATTCCACAATCATCATCAATTCAATTTTGATTACTACCTTGGATTCTTCTGTTAATTTTTTGTTTCTAGAACCACCTTTTAACTGTTTGTTCTATCGACAAACCATTTATATATTTTATAATAATTGAATAGATTGCAGTTCGTTGAAATCCAAGAATATTTACAATATCTGATGGTGAATTTCCATTTAAGTAAGATTCAATTATCCTGGAACATTTTCATTGTTGATTGTTTGATTCAGCATTGCTGTTTATAAATATTGAAAATGATGTTTAAGCTTTACCATGAACTCTTATTGTATTGAAGAGACAAATATTTTGGATAATAAAAATACTTTTATTTACTTGATAAAAAATTATGACATAAAATTATAGTTTGATGACAGTTTAATTATGTATTATTGGGATATTTTCCAAAACATAGATATTTTTTTTTTGGCAATTAGATATAATTAATCCGGTTAATAAAATAATGAATATAGCAATTAAAAACAATTATTATGGTAACTTAAAACAATTAATATCCACATCGTTTATTTTACCTATTTATTATACGTATATCCAAAAAAATTTCGAAACCACATTCATGATGTCAGAACCGACTTTAAATATTGTAGAATTTAAAAAATAGCCACATTAAATATTTTATTGTTCCGATAAAATACAACCCATTAATATTTAACAAAAATTTACATCAAAAATATGAAAATTTTAATTTAAAATATAGTTTTTTTAAATGATCAAAATGTGATGCAACAGTGTCGAAATTGTATAGAAAAGTGTCGAAATGTAGTGTTACAATGTCGAAATGAGGTGAGAAACCCTGTAAATAAAATCCACCGAGTATATAATAGGATTTAGGACCACAGAGTTTATTTTAGGGTTGCAGAGTTTGAAAAAAAACTTTTCGTTAAGTTTTGTCTTCTAGCGATCTCTTTTTGCACAAGCTCTTGATTTTATGTGAGTGTGTGTGTGTGTGTGTGTGGGTGGGTGGGGGGGGACCCTACCCCAACCCACGTAAAATTTACCCCCTCCTTCCAAAGAAGGTGTTTTTTAAGTCGGTTTTTTTACGAATTTAGTCGGCTAATCGGCTATTTGACACAATTCAGTCAGGTAAATTTTCGTTTTGAGGATTTTTTTTATAGATGCCAGTCGGTACTTTTGAAAGATTCACCCGCCCACCCTCATTTTATGCCTCTGCTCTTGGGGATAGAAAAGGCTGTAAACCCTAATTATAAGTATCATAAAAAATATCCTTATTTCATAATAGAGTTTTTATTCATTTGTTTTTTTCGTTTGCATACCCCTTTATCAAAAAATGTTTGATTTTTTAATTATTTTACTTTAATGAAATAAAAGACAAGAATAAAAAATTTGACAATTGTTTAATTAAGTTACAAGATATTAGTGGTCTATCCACTAACTTCAGCTCAGCAATCTCAACGGGGACGTCAACTTCTTGCCTGATATAATTTTGTTATTATTGTTAATAGTATTATTAGTGTTGTTGTTGTCGTCATCATCGTCGTCGTTGTAGTTGTTGTTGTTGTTGTTGTTGTTGTTGTTGTTGTTGTTGTTGTTGTTGTTGTTGTTGTTGTTGTTGTTGTTGTTGTTGTTGTTGTTGTTGCTGTTGTTGTTGTTGTTGTTGTTGTTGTTGTTGTTGTTGTTGTTGTTGTTGTTGTTGTTGTTGTTGTTGTTGTTGTTATTGTTAATGTTGTTGTTGTTGTCGCTGTTGTTATTGTTGTTGTTGTTGTTGTTGTTGTTGTTGTTGTTGTTGTTGTTGTTGTTGTTGTTGTTGTTGTTGTTGTTGTTGTTGTTGTTGTTGTTGTTGTTATTGTTGTTGTTGTTGTTGTTGTTGTTGTTGTTGTTGTTGTTGTTGTTGTTATTGTTAATGCTGTTGTTGTTGTTGTTGTTGTTGTTGTTGTTGTTGTTGTTGTTGTTGTTGTTGTTGTTGTTGTTGTTGTTGTTGTTGTTGTTGATGATGATGTTGTTGATGATGTTGTTGTTGATGAAGTTGTTATAACAAAGAAACAACATTAAAATTAAAATATAAAAAAACATTAAATAAAAAATTCTTTTTATTAGCAAGACCTAACCTGCGCCATTTATATACTGGAAGTAGACAAACTTGGTCATGTTTTGAGTTGGAAACCAAAAGATTTTTCTAAGGTTTGCTTAAACACAATTTTTAAATAAAGTCTTCTTTTTTTATTTTTATTTAATTACATAAGCATTTAATTTAGGACACGGAAGTGCTGGAATTGGTTCTTGTAAGAGATGTAAGAACTGGACAGTATGCAAAGATTCCGAAAGCACAGGTTCGATCTTAATTAGGAAGGTTTTGCAGGGAGTTTTTTGTAGTAATAAATTTTGGATAGCTTATGAAATAATAGCTAGGTATTAGTCTAATAGCTATTATTTTATAAGCTGTCCAAAATTTTCCTAAATTAATAATATTTCTAATAATTAGAAATATTAGCAATATAGCAATATACATTTAACAATACAGTTTATTTTACATTTAGTTAATACAGTAACAACATTTATTAAAAATTTATTCAGCAATTGCAGACATAGTATTATAGTTTAATTTCAAGTTATTTTTTATAATGTGCGTTGTATAACAAATAAGTCTGTTTCTAATTTTGACTATGCAAGTTTAAAGAAGGATATAAAAAATAAATAAGTTTTAAAGTTTTAGTCTCTCATAAATGTCATTTAATATTATGTTATTAGGATACTCGTGCTAGAGATGCTATTAAAATGTATAGTGCTGTTGAGCTGGAGAGTAATTTAATGCAAGAACGTACCATAACAATAGTTTATGGAAGCAATTTTGTAGATCTTACATTCATTAATTTTGTTGCATCTAGTGTTTCAGAAGCACAAGAATGGACTGAGGCATTATTTAAATGTACTAATAATCTTCTTGAGTTCCATTCAAGTCCTTTGAAGTGCTTGGAGAGATTGTAAGTATTATCAATTGTTGATATATTTTTTTAAAGTATAAATTTATATATTTTTGTGAGGTATTTTTATTTCAGTTTAATAAGCCTTGTCACCAACTTTGTTTTTTAATGTTTTGATTTTTTTGTGTCTTGTTATATTTTTTTCTTGATTTCTCATTTTTGCATACTGTTATTCAGCATTTTTTTTATTTGGCTATAATATATTGTAATGTAACTGGAATACTTATATTTGGTATTATAAATTTAGAAGAAGTTAAATACATTTTATGGCTATTTTTTATTTATTTACAAATGATTTTAAGTTGTTAAAAATTAAAATATTTAAAATTATTTATATAATAAAATTAATATTTTCATGTAGTTATACAAGAATATGTGTCCAAAAAAACCAGAATGGAGAAATTCCAGTAAAAATGTAAGCTATTTTCTAGCAGTATGTAATTAAATTAACAGTAATTAAAAACTCCTGGTTTTTTGTTGACATTGTTTTTGCTGTTGTTGTTGTTCTAGTTTTATAAGTAATTTTGTATAGTTTTTTTAAGTAATTTTAAAATCATTAAAAATAATAGTTTAGTCCACTCTTAGTTGGTTTTTCACGTATCATGGAAAAAGGGGGTTTGTTTGTTTTTCACTCTAAATTCAATTATAAACTGAGATGTTAACTTATGTTTATACCAATTAACTTTCTCCAGATATGAACAAAAAGAAACAACTTTATTCTAAAAGATAACGAAATTACCTAGGGTAGCAAAAAAATTTATTCTATCTTTTAACCCTATAAATCTGAAAAATAAATCTTGTCCTTGCAAGAGAGACATAAATCATTTTTCAGGTAGTGGTATAGTAGTTAGAGGTTTCCATTGACCTTTCACCCTCTAACATTACATTGGTCTTTACACTTGCTAACTTATTTACTACTACTACATTAAAATGAAATTTTTTTTAACTAACAATAATAACACGTCTTTTCCAAAGTTTTATTCAACATACCTTTTTTCTGGAGTTTTACACTAAAAAACCTCTCATTCAGCGTTTTACCCAATAAAACTAACAGTTGAGTGCACTCTTAATAACTATTGTGAATAAGATCTGGTTATGTAGGCCAATTTTCGGAAAAACCACCATTTTATTGCGCACAGACTTGGTTGGGTGTTTTTAATCTTTAGGCTTGAAACCTTTAGTCTTTGATGTCTAGATGTAGTGTCAAAAAAAGGTTTTTGCATTCACCAAAATTTCTATTCTTTCACTCTAGTGCCTGTAGTTGCCATCATACCAGTGTAATCACAAATTTATAGAACCTTTAAAAGCTTACCTTTAATTTAGACATGCTTGCTAGAAATTAATGCTGTAATACAGTTTGTAGAGTTACTGCAGTTGTCCATCATAGAAGGACAACTGCAGTAACAGTAAAGGTGAGAAGGCATCGCATTACATTTTGTTGTAAGAAAACATGAAGAATAGTGTATGAAAATATCTATAGTTTCAAGTTAAGTAAAAACATACTGAAACATAAATCAAGTTTTACAGTTTGACTTTTACTTGAAGATTGCAGTGTATCAAGCTCTCCTTAATTTTGATCTACAGCATTTATTTCCGTTAAAAAAATTATTATAAAGTTTTTAAAATTTTCGCGTATTAACCTGCCAGCGTGGCAGAGTATATAGCGTGCCGAGCCTCTGTACTAATAATCCATGGTTCGAGTACTACCACTGGTGACTTTTTTATATTTTAATTTAAAGTTTTTTTTGCTATAAATATATATTGCAACTGTTTTTCAAAATGTCCTCATATGCTTATTACGTATTTCAAGAAAAACTCATTTTAAAAAAATTATTAGGAAAAACTCGGTTGCAGTATGGATGATAAAAAGAGTATGTTGAAAAAATGGCTGCAGTATGGATAATACAAAGAGTATGTTGAAATGAGATGATTTGACGCAAAATTTAAAAGCTCTTAACAAAAGCCACTAAACCAAAAAATTAAAAGTAATTGCACTTAAAAATTTTAAGTATAGTCTATTGGTGTTTGCAAAGAAACATATAAATCGTTTTTTTAATATTAAACTAATTTTTTTAAACTTTGTTGTATAGGCAGGTTTGGCGCTTAACCATCCCTATATAAACGGTATAGATAAATAAATATGTTATTTGTTTATGTACATTGTTTATAAAATGTAAAAAATCGAGTTATATAACATTTTATTCAGGATCGTATGTAATATAAGTAAACTTTTCTACTAATTACATGTCTTTTTTGCTCAAGCTGTTTTGTTTTGATTATTTGTATTTATGTTATTATATTTAAAAAATTTGACAAGATTGAAAAAACACGAAACATATTGTTTCATCCAAGTGGAAAATTTGAAATTTCAATTTTAGATTTGCCCCTCTCTTGAAAATTTCTTATTGCTAAAATTACTTTATCGGCTTCTTAGACTATTAAAAATGATTGACGAGGCTTTTTCGTAAATTGTAGAAGCCAAAATTTTTTTGCGATTTCATGTGATGTCACTTTGTTGCAAAAAACTAGAAAACAAGAAAAAAAGAACAAACTAGAAATAAGGTTTTATTTAAATTTTTCAAAAAAACTCCTTCTATTAAAGATATATGGAATATATCTTTATGGGATATATTCTAATAAAGACAATTATTTATTTATTATAGTTGTAATAAACCTTTTATCCGTGAAATTATTTATCTGCACCAGTTTTATATATTTTTATGCAATTGTATGCAACATAATTAAAATTCATCAAAATTAAAATAAAAAAGGTAACGAAAAATGAAATTTGATGCATAATGGTTTATTTTGCCACAAACTGGCGTCAATGCGCAAATTTTTAGATTAGCGTTTAATAGCTGAGGCTATTATTCTTTATTTTTTAATTATAACCATAAGAATGAACTTTTTTTTTATGACTATGTTTTAGTTGTCTAAGATCTTCTTAGTTCCATTTGTATAGCGTTATGTACAAACATTTGTAAGTGTAAGTGTCTTTAGCATGTGTTGAGTTTGCAGGCATTATATAGAGATAATTGCATGTAATATATCTATAAAATGAAAAAACTTAAAAATTTAATATAAACTTTAGAAATCTTTTTTGCTGTATTATTATTTTTTTGCTATAAATATATAAGCAAGATTGAAAAAATTTCAAAATTTATTATGCTGAGTAGAATTCCTAAACCCCCAAAACAAAATTGATGACAGCGCATTTAACCACTGAGCTATCAATGAAATGCTTTTAGTAGAAAAACAAATCTAATTGCAAATCTCTTATAAGCCCTACGTATGCGGAAAAGGTGCACATGTTAAGTTTTTTGCTCTTGAATGTTTTTTTCAGAATAAATTACAGGGGTGGGACCGCAAAATGTGAACGTTTTTGTTTTATTATAACTATTTTCTCGTTAGATGTAGTTGAGTTTATTTGATAAAAAACGAAAGACAAAGTACTAATGAATATGTAAACAAAGTCGCAACACTTATAAACATGCCGTCTTCAAAATATAAATTAATTCCAAAAAGCCGTATAATTTCAATGATCATGGATAAAATTAGTTACAGACGAATCAAAACCATATTAAACAAAGAAGGAATCGATGTATCAATTGGTTATATAAGTAAGTTAAAGAATGAGATTACTTTAGACCACCAAAAAATTGCAAATGATCAAATAAAGAAGAAACGCCATGTGCCGCCATTAAAGCTCTCAAGTACTCAAATTCAAAAACTCAAAAGATTGGTTTTAAAAGACTCATGCCCATCAATTTCACATCTTGCACGATTGTTTGGTGTGTGCAGAAGAACAATTAACAACTATATCAAAAAAAGATTCAAATTACACAAATTCAAAAAGCAAAAAGTTCATGATTTGTCTCCGGCTGCTAAAGAAAAGAGGTTTCAAAGATCTGCTCGTTTATCAAATTTTATAAAGAGAAATTGGCGAAAAATAATAACAACAGACGAGAAACTATTCCACATTTCAAATTGTAATCAAGAAAATGATTATTATTATAGTAGAGATAGAAAAAACATTCACAAAAAGTTTAAAACAAGACCTAAAAGTTTTTCGAAGGCAATAATGGTATGGGGCGGAATTTGTTATAATGGAACCACAAAACTTAAATTTGTTAAACAAGGTGTTAAAATTAATGCAGATTGTTATATTGATAACATTTTAAAACCATTTTTCAGTGAAGATTGCAAGCGTTTATATCCTAAAAAAGATTTCATATTCCAACAAGACTCGGCGCTGAGCCATACATCTAAAAAGACAATTTCATTTTTAAACAACAATAGAATCAAATTCATTCCACCTGAAATGTGGACACCATTTAGTCCAGATAACGCTCCAATGGACTTTTGTATTTGGGGATATATGCTTGAAAAGTTAAAAGATCGAAAAGTAAAGACAATCGACGGCTTGAAACGCCACATTATTGACATATGGAAGAACATCCCTCTCTCACTCATCAGAAAGTGTCTAAAGAGTTGGTCTAAACGTTGTAAAATGATCTACGAGAATCAAGGAGGTCAAATTGAACATTTAAAATAGTTCATATTTAACAGAAAATTAATTATTACAATCAGAAAAGTGTTCACATTTTGCGGTCCCACCCCTGTATTTTACTTAAAGATATTGAAGTAAATAAGAAATAGGTATATAAAAAATCGGTGTGGAACAGATATTTATAGAAATGGTAGGTTTGGTAAAGACCCGTATTTTACAGGTTAGGAAAGCTAGGATATGTAAGGAAAAAATATAGAAAAGTTCAGTTTGGAATAGACTTATAAAGACCTGTATTTTTACAGGTCCAATCTCAGCTAATTTTAAATAATTTTGCAGTAATTCTATTGCATGTTCTCTCTAAATTAGTTGATTTACTGCTCACAGCTCTTTAAATCAGTAAGACGTCAGTTAACCAATCTAAATGTGCTTCTAATGTTATATATATATATATATATATATGTATATATATATATATATATATATATATATATATATATATATATATATATATATATATATATATATATATATATATATATATATATATATATATATACAACTTTATTCCAATGCATTTTAGATTTGTTACTAACTTTGTTTCTAGTTTAGTTAAGGCATTTGTTAACCACAAAGAAGATATAAAGAGAGCTTATGGTACTCTGCAATCTTTAGGAATTGCACATGGGAAGGTATTATTTAATAGTTATTTAATTTAAAGGATTTTTCTGATTTACAGAATTTTATTTTTTCTGTGTACAAATGGTTAATTTGAGAAATATATTTTATGTTAAACAATGAATAATTTGACTAATGGTTTATTTGAGAAATATATATAAAGTTATATTTGGATTTTTCCTATTGTAGATAATCTTTAATTTTTTTTCATTATTTTGATTTTTTAAATGAATGAAATTAAATAAAAGAATTAAAAGATTTTTATATTTTTATTAAAAACAGTTAATTATGTAAAAAAAGTTCTGTGAAAGGTTATAAAGTTATAAATTAATAATAATAAGTTAATTATTTTATAATATAAACAGGTTACATATTAAAAAAAACTATGAAGAAAAAAAAAGTTGATAAAAAGTTGCAAGCAGAAACAAAACATTTAGCACATTATTACATCAGTTACTGTTGAAGTTTTTCATTATTTGTTTTGTAAATATGTTTAAAAGGATTTGTTAAAGTCTGCCATTATTCTTGGGAAAATAATTTTTAATAGCTCAAATAACACAGCATTTGTACTAATTTGTATTATTACTTTTACTTTATTATTTTATACTTTTAATTGAATCTTCTTTGGTAAGCAAGCTTTTCAACTAATCCTTGTTGAACAAAATTGACTTTATTGAACAATCTAGTGCATTTAGACAGCCCTTGAAATCTAAAAAAATTTCAGTTTGGTACAAAACTGTCTTCCTTAACAAATAAAAATTTGTTAATCACTATTTCCTTAATGAGTAAAACTATTTTTTAATCTAAAAAAAAAGTCATATTGAAATATCTTATTCTATAATATCTTAGTCTATCTTATAATATTGGCAGACAGTCTGTATTAATCGCTTGCTTATAATTATTACAATTATTTTTGTTTGCTTTTTATTTTTATTTATTAATTTGTATTATTATTTTTTATTTACAATTTTATTATTTTTCATTTAATATTTTTTTAGTATCACTTGTAATATTTTTTTGTACATAATTATACTTATTATTATAATGATATAATATATTCATAGCAGAAATATGTCAAACAAATTTCCTTTAAGTTGGTTCAGAATTTATTTTTGTTGACAAGTTTAGGTATCTAGGTACATAATTAAGAAAAAAAAAAATTACTATTTATAAAAAAAAAATTATTATTTATTAAAAATGTTTATTTTTATATTATTATAAAAATAATTATTAACGAATAGTACTATTTGTTTAACAAATAGTATTAATTGTTAATGGAATAGTTGTATATATATATATATATATATATATATATATATATATATATATATATATATATATATATATATATATATATATATATATATATATATATATATATATATATATATATATCAAAATACTTATTTAATGAATATTACTGTTTGTTTAAGGAAGAATACTATCAATAGTTACAGTCAAGAAGGCTAGTCGTTGTTTTTTTTAATTTTTAAAAACTTCTTTCTTTACCCTTAACTCTGAAACACAAGGTGATTCCACCTTGTATTTCGAAGTTGAGGGTTTTTGTTTTTCACCAAAGGTTGAAAATCTCATGGTCACAAGCTAAGTGTTTTACTACTAGCCTATTACTGCATTATGTCAGTTATAAGACAACATAAGACAATAAGACAACAGGAAAAACACACTAGATTGAATTGGAGCAGTATATGGGTTGTATATATAAATAATATTTAGGAAAGATCAAAAATTTTTGTTTTTATTGTCGGTATGATTAATTAAAACATTTAATAAACAAAAGTTACATAGCAGTGGGAATAGAATTTGAATATATTTATTTTCTATTTGCTAAGTATTTATTTTAAAAACATTTTCATCTAAGTATTTATTTTAAAAACATTTCTATCGAGACTGCAAGCAACCACTATTAGAGTTGGAAGTTACTAGAAGAGAAAATATGAAATTTATAGAGCACAATAACAATTAACGGATGACTTAAAAGATTGCAAATTATGTAAATCAGGAAAACAAGATAAAGAAAGCCAATTCCAAAAAACTGATGTTCAAGAAAAAAAATTAGACCAAAAAGAATTTGTGGAGCACTTATGAACAGTCAAAGTAAAAGTATGAGATTTAATTGAGTGACTGGTAACATGAGAATGAATTTTAGTAGATGGCATAAGAGACACTAGCTTTTTTAAACAGTGTCAATTGTATTTTAAATAGTGTCAAATGTATTTATAGCAAAGAGGAAGAGAAGCAAATGTTGTGATAATGGTTGGAGGTTAGCTGCATGAGTAGGTCCAATTATGTTTACAACCCATTTTTGTACTTTGTCTAAAAGAAAAAAACATCATTTGAATATCTGCTCCAGATATGGTAACAGTATTCCATACAAGAACGAATTAGAGATTAATAGATATAAAAAATAGAATTTGAAAGAAGAAAGCTGTGAGCTAATTTTGCAATGGATTTGATATATGGTTTCCAAGAAAGATTAGAAGTTAATCCTAGAAAACGAAGGGTAGATGACTCATAGAGTACATAACCATTCACAAATATAGGAAGACCTAGATTATTTTGATAACTATTAGCTGAAAAAATTAAGTTTTATCTGATTTAAAGTTCATCAGTCATTGAAAACCATTGAAAGTAAAGCTTTTTGACAAGACATGAATAAATGGAAGTGTTATCAGTGAACAATGCCATTCTAGATGTGAGAATTTCTGGGAGTTGATATAAATTAAAAAAAGTAAAGGGCCAAGGATAGAACTTTGAGGAGCCCCTGAAGTTACAGGAAATAAAGAAGAATGCTGTCCATCAAGGACAACATACTATGATTGGTAAGGAAAGATTTAATGATCTTAAAGATGTAGCCTGATGCACCATAAGAAGAGAGCTCTTGGAAAAGACCAGCATGCCAAACTTTATTAAAGGCTTTAGAAATGTCAAGAGCGATAAAACCTATCAAGTATTACCGTTAACAAATCAGCAGTAGAACAAGAAAATCAAAGTCCATTTTCAGTCTTTCACTGGAAGACGTGCGATCGCATGTCTTTATATAAATTATTTAAACTTATCTAAAAACAAACTTTAAAAAAGACAAAAAAATCTTAACGAAAGAAAAAATAAAAATAAAAAACCTAAAACAAAACTTATAAAGCTAAAATGCTTAGTGTATTTATTTTATGCATTAAAAAATCATTTCATTCTTTGTTTTAACATTTGTACTTTTTTTTTTTTAAATTTGTTTTAAAGGTTAACATTTATCATAAAAAATAGATAATTATAAAAATAAAAAAAAACTGTTTAATAATACTTATTCTTAGCAAACAATTCAGCATTGTTTTTAGGTGAGGTTACAAAATCTGAACCATGCATAAGAGGAGAATAACAGATTTGCCCTTATTATAGGCAATCTTAAAGATTCTCTTGAAGTCTCAGTAGCTTTATTATATATAAAGAGCTATAGAGACTTCAAAAAATAGTGAGCTTTTGGGTTAGACAAAACCTTCTCACAATTGCATTCTAACAATAGTAAACAGATGTCTGTTTTCTGAAGAATTGTTTTGGTGATAGATATGGAAGAAATGGTTGTCATAGGAAATTGCAGGAACACAATGAAAGGAAAACTATGGAGAAAAGTGAGGCTTGACTTGAAATTGTCGAGAGAAAAAAAAGGAAAAAAGACTCCAAGCCAACCTGAATTCAAGAAGTTATGCAAGAAGCTTATATGTCAACAAGGAGATAAAAGATTTCTACCCAAGGGCCATCACAAAAAAAATCTTGTAAAAAGTCACAGCCAGCTTTAAGGTAGTTATAGGAGGTACAATGATAAGAGGAATCTGATGATGAAGAAGAATGAGATAATAATTATATAGAGAGCAAACCATAATTAGAAGTTCTTAGGGGTAAATGTGGAGAAACTGAGCACTGATTAGGATCATAAATAAGAGTAGAGTAAGTTGAGTAGAGTAGTTAAATGATTTGGATTGACTGGAAATCGAGTTGGAAAGTTGACTATTTGTGTTAGAGATTGAGAAACGCAAAAGTTGTGGGCTATAACACCTGTAGAGTATTTGACACTAGAATCAAGCCATTCAGTGCGATGAGTTAAAGTCACCACAGACAACAATATTGGCTGATGGATAAAGAGAACAGGCTTATTTAATTTGATCAGAAATAACATCAGAAAGAGTGCAGTCTTAAGATGAAAGGGAGTGATATAGAACAAAGAGAAAGGCGATAGTGGTCCTAAGTGGTCCAAAACGAAAGCTCATAAAAAATTATTGTGGATTCTCCTAGTTTCCTGACAAGTAGGTGAATTATTGCAAATGTAAATGCCCAGGCCAAGCATGTGACTATTGAAGATAACCATTAACACTAAGATTCAGAGCTAAATTGCAATTAGTCTCACAAAGAGCAAGTAAGTCTGGTGATCTTTGCAAGAGATAAGACTCAACATAAGAAAAGTTACTTCGAAGGCCAGGAATATAAAATTATTTATTTATTTATTTATTTAATAAAGTTGTGACTATTAATACAGCAAGTGTGATTTACACACTGAAACAGCCATTCACAACAGCCAATCACAAAAATATGTTGCTTAAATTATTGTTCTTTTGTTGTTAATGATAGATTTAGAGAACTTTGTTATGACAATGGTTTTTTGCATTTTTTTATTGTTTTTGGTGCTTTAGTCAATTTGGATTTGTAAAAGAATTTGACTCAAAGCACAGATAATACTCAGTACACTATTCAGTAGTCCATGCAATTGCTTCATTACTATTAATAAATCCAAAAGGTTTTAAATGTGGTTTCAACAATGCATGCTAAAAATACAAACAGGGAACACCATCAATGTGCAACATGACACTGTTAGTACTCTGATACTTTACAGCTGTTGATGGAATCAGCCTCTGTATTTCATCTCAGACTATGAAGTTAAGAAATTATCTGGAAAATCACCAATAACAATTATGTTTGAATAATTAATTTTTTTTTAGTTGATTAAGATGCTGTGATAAAAAAGAACATATAGTTTTTTTTAATAATTATTCATTAAAGTTGGAACATCTAATAGAACATCTTATGGAATTTAAGTACAATTTTTTAAAATCATGCAACTAATGCAATTAAGTCAATAAAAATGTAGTCTTCTCCATACTGCTGTCAGCATTAAAAGCAAAGCACTACAAAACTACGAAAAAATTCTTATTTCAATATTTAACAATACTTTGTAATATCCACATGTTTTTTCTAACTTAACTCTATACACTATATATTCATATATACATATACAGGCTTTCACAGGAAGGCATGCAATCACACGTCTTTATATGACCACGTAAATTACATTTTGCTATGACAATTTGACCTAGGCTAATTCAAAAAACATTTTAAAAAACGCGCTAAATGAAAAATATTCTGCAAAAGTGAAGTTTATTACATCAAAACTTCTTAACAAATGGGTTTATATTAGCGAAACGCTTTTAAATAAAGTAACAATTTACTGATAATAGTTTGTTTTTTTTAACATAATTGACAGTTGTATATATATAATTTATAATATATAAATTGAAATGGGTTTTTAATGTGTAAATTGAATATACTAAGCATTTTAGTTTGATGAGTTTTGTTTTAGTTGGGTTATATATATATTTATTTTTTTGTGTTTTTGCTTTAACTAAGTATTTTTTTTATTTTCTCTTTCATTAAGATTTTTTTTCTTTTTACAATTTTTTTTTTTAGATAAATTTAGGTAAGTTTTTGTATCGCATTTTTAAATTTTGAAAATATGTCAAAAGCTGTGGTCAAATCGTTAAAACATATTATTTTTTGCGTGGTCATATAAAGACGTGCAAACACACGCTATCCTGTGAAAGCCTGATATATGTATATATGTATATATACATATATGTATATATACATATATGTATATGTATGTATATATATGTATATATATATATATATATATGTCTATATATATATATATATATATACATATATATATATATATATATATATATATATATATATATATATATATATATATATATATATATATATATATATATACACACTCATATACATAATATATATATATATATATATATATATATATATATATATATATATATATATATATATATATATATATATATATATATATATATATATATATATATATACACACACTTATATACATAATATATATATATATATATATATATATATATATATATATATATATATATATATATATATGTATATATATATATATATATATATATATATATATATATATATACACACTTATATACATAATATATATATATATATATATATATATATATATATATATATATATATATATATATATGTATATATTATGTAAAACTAAATAATACCTGGTAGTTAAAGAAACATGGCTCCGAGTTTTTTTAACTACCAGGTATTATTATTTAGTCTTACATAATATAATTTGCTCTACTCTGTATTGAGCACTCTACACCAGTATTTATCAACGCAATTATTATATATACATATATATATATAAATATATATATATATATATGTATATATATATATATATATATATATATATATATATATATATATATATATATATTTATATATCAGGCTTTCCTAGGAAAGGCGTGCGGTCGCACGCCTTGTTTGTCCACGCATAGAATAAATTTTTCTGACTAACTGACCACGTTTTATTATTATGCGTTTCAAGAATTCGCGCCAAAACAAAGCTAAACGAAAATACCGCAAAAATGCAAGCAACCTTAAAGTAAATAACAGAAATCTGTTTGTGCTTTAAAATTAAAAAATTAATGTATATTATTAAAAAAAAAAATTTACCTATATTTTATTTATTTATTTTTTTAGGGTGGTAGTTATTTTAGCTATGAAAAATCAAATCAATAAGAAAAATCAAATCAAAAAGAAAAAGAATAATGTTTAAAGAAAATAAAAAAACCTTATAATGTAAAATTTGTTTATCAATGACTTTTATCAGTCAGTAATATTTTAAAATTCACGATAGAACTATAAACAATTTTTAAATGTTTCATAAATACATTTAAATGTTTAAATGTATTGATTTAAATGTTTGAATGTATTGATACGCAAGAAAACACGAAAATGATTGCTATTTATTAGTAAAAATATATTTGTTTTTTTTTTTAAATGAAAGAAAATTTTATTGTCAAACAATTGAGTTGCTTATTTTGCAATCATTAATTGACATTGTGAACGAGTGTTAATATATAATAATGTCCCAAAGGAACTGTTTTTGTAACAATGACAACAGAAGCAATGCAATCATTTTTTTAACTTCTTTTGTAATTACAAAATTATGCAATTGAATAATTTCAACGTAATAAAAGGTGAGCATTGACTCAGTATTATCAGTTTAGAATAAGTCAAGAAAGAACTTTTTTCACATTAAAACTTTGTTATGTTTAAAATCTCAAATAATATATTTAATAATTAAAACAGCAATTTATTTTCTTGTCTAAGTATTGGGGAATAAAGTCATCGCCATTGCATAAACCTTCATAAAAACTAAAGTAAATGAAAAAGTTTAACCAATTTGTCTAGCGTAAATAATGAATCAGTTTTTTAATACATTGTGTGATAAAGTTCGTGAATAAATTACTTATCAAGTCTTTTTATTTTCGTGAAAACTTTATGACTTATCGTCGTCTTTTTCTTGACTTGTATCAAATTTTGTAGCTGAAAATAGCAACCCTAAAAAAAAAAAAAAAACAGTATAAAAATTTTGAAAAAAATGTTGATGAAAATAAAAATATTTTTCTTACATCCAATTTCAATTTTATACTTTGTTTAGACTTCGTTTCCTTTTTTTAAAATTACTTTTTATTCTCTGTCGTTTTCCCATGAAATATTGCCGCGGTCGCGTTTTCTGAAAAATTTATTATATGCGTGGACAAACAAGGCGTGCGACCGCACGCCTTTCCTGGGAAAGTCTGATATATATATATATATATATATATATATATATTTATATATACATATATATATATATATATATATATATATATATATATATATATATATATATATATATATATATATATATATATATATATATATATATATATATATATATATATATATGTATATATATATATATATATATATATATATATATATATATATATATATATATATATATATATATATATATATACATATATGTATATAATTATATATACATTATTGCGTATTTAGCAGGATGATACTATGTCATACTGAAATAGTTAGCTGTAAAGGTTTTAGTGAATACATCATTTGATGTTCTTGGTAGAACATGCAAGCAATATCTGCACTATGAGAAAAATAATAACTTTAACAAATAGTAAGACTATAAACAAATTTCAAACATTTATATAAGTTGTAATAATACATTATTTTTTTTTAGAAAGACATGATTGTTCTCAAAGACTTTTCTTTTGAAACTTTTTTTACATTTTATAATCGACTTATATCAAGGCATGATTTTGACAATGTCTTTACAGAGTTGTAAGCTTTTTTTTTTATCTACTTTTCTATTTTATAGATTTTTATTTGTTTTTATATTTTTTATTAAAAGTAGTTACTAGTATATGGAGTATATTATAATATGGCAATCAATCAACATGGAGTATATTATAATATGGCAATCAATCAAATCATGCTAGATATTTCATAACATCAGTACCATTTTCAGTTATTACATTTTTTTTTAATTGCAGTTAATTAGTTTTTCCACTGCACAGGTGGCGGATAAAAAGAAGTTATCAAAAATGTCTTAATTATTTAATGTTTTGTAACGCATGTGACTTTAAAGTTTGCTATTTTTCTTAAAATTTGTTATTTTTCTCACCACAACTTTCTACTCTATAGATGCACCTACATACAATTATTTCAGTACCTGTACAAACTGAGCACCATATATACTTAACTTTTGTTTCATTAAGTAAATAACAATCATTCAAATTAAAAGAACTGATGCTTTCAAGGATATGAACGTACACTCCACCTCCCCTATTAATCCATCTGTCTTGTCTGTACAAAGAATAAGTTGGAATATTTGTTGTTGATGATTTATTCCACCATGTTACATACCATTACATTTTATGTTTGCCTAATTTCAATATAAATTAATAATTCAACAAGTTTGTTTTTTAATGTTTAATGACTTTGTATTAGTATACCAGCAATACAGCTTTCTGTATTTTCTTGACAATTTACTTGATGTAAATTTTTCAGCCTCTACTTCCTTGAATACCATATTGAGTAGGCTTGTTAATAGTTCCTTCAATAGCATATTTTCTGTTGCGTTTGTTCCTGTCAATAACTTGTTCTTTTGTTTGTTTCCTTTAAACCTCAATTTGACCCAGATTAATGTATACTTATTGAAAATTATTCAACGTCTTAAGCTTTCTAGCAGCTTTCAAATATTCTACTCTATTTCAAATATTCTACTCTGTTTGTTGTTTGGTTAATTCTACTAAAACAGGGCTGCTTAATTCATTGTTTGAAACAATGAACTCTCTTGATTATATTTTTATTTATTCTTATTTCACTAAATAGATCGTTAACCAATTTCAAGTTGTATTTAATATGGTTTTGAGAATCTTCTTTAAGTTTAGCAGTCTAACTATAATGTTATCTTCTCTCTTTCTAATGTCTTTATTTAAAGTAACAATTGGCCTTATTTCTTAATGGTTTGTGCTACTGTAAAATATGTATTAAATTATAATATCATATTATAATCAACTATTATTAATTAGAGATATTATAAGTCTTAACTTTTAGAAAGCATGTTAAAACTTTTAGAAAGCATGTTAAAACTTTTACCACTGCAATAAAAACTCTATCAATCAATTAATATAGTGGGCCAATAGGTGGACAAAACTATAAAAATCCATATCTGAAAACTTAAATTTTTTTAAAACAATTTTTAATAAGATATATTGGGGACCTCAAAATTATTTGAATTAAATTATAAAAGAATATATTCTCAGCAAAAAATCATTTCAAGTAAAGTTTTTGCAAAAAAAAAAAAAAAAAAAAAAAAGCAATTAAGTGAGAAAATGTAGTTTTATACAAAGTGAAAGTGTAGAATGAATTTTTGAAAAAATGATTAAATATTTTTATTAACTTATCAAATAATTGTTAATATATAAAAATTATAAAGAAAAAAGAATTGAAAAAAAATTGAAACCGGTTTTGAATATAATTTTTGGTAGCAAACGTTTTTTTTTAATACTTTTTTTTGAAAAGACAACAAGGAAAAATTTGTGCTCTATTTTGTCCTTATCTCTTAAACTTATTTTAATGGCTCTACATATATCCATTCATAAAATTATTTTCTAGCTGCTAGTATCTGCTACTTTTTTTAATACTTAATTTTTATTTTTTTAAGTTTTAATACTTGCTTTTGTTTTTTCTTTAAGTTTTTTTTTTCTTTTTATGTTTTGAAATAAGTGTATATATATATATATATATATATATATATATATATATATATATATATATATATATATATATATATATATATATATATATATATATATATTAGTTTCATATTGTTATTACTAATATGTCAACTTGTACAAGATATCAAGTTCATCAGTTCATAAGACACCATGGTTTATCTATATCTATTGAAAAAGACAAACCTGATGTTCACATTTTTATTTGTGAATACTTTTCTCAATTTGATGCTCAATTTGAAACTTTTTTGTCAAACGTTGGTGAAAACTTTATTGATGAAAACTTTATGAAGATTTTTTTAGAATGCAGAAAAGTTTGCTCAAATTCTTGAACTTGATGTCAGTATGATAAAGATGTTACATGTTATTTGGTGTACATTGTCATCTAGCTTTCTTTTTGACTCTTCACTATTTGGATTATAGTGCTACAAAATAGTTGAAAAGTATGTAATTCTATATCCCTGGTATCATATGTCACATTGTTTGCATCACATTCTCTCGGCTCAATTTAATTTTTTATAAAGTCCTGGATAAAATATCCTATCAAAAGGTATTTGGGTCGGACAGTGTCCGATCAAATTTTTAAAATATAATCTTTACGGTTTTACAGAACCAAGTTAAGCATTCGAAATCTTAGTCATATTATTAAGTTTATTCAACTTTAGTTAAATAAACTTAATAACAATTTTATTGCAGATTTATAAACTTAATAAATATTTTATTGCAGATTTTTGCTTTTTTTTTAATAAAATAGTTCCAATTTAATATTGCATGTTTTTGAGATAGACTTGAACTTGCATGCTGTAACTGACAACTTTTTTTTTTATTCTTTACAATTTAACAACGGCTTTTTGATGTTTTAACTATTTAAAAGCAATAAAAAAAATTTAATCGTTGATCTTTTTTAAAGTTTTAAAAACTTTAAAAAAGATCAACAATTTAATAATTACGTCTGGAGATCCAGGTGGTTATTTCTCTTTTGACTTTTTTTTTTTTATTTATATTTGTAATTTTAGGTGCCTCAAGAAGACCTAATGGTCTTGTCACAGAGCACCAAGGATGTGCATTTAACCAGGAAGTTCACAGCTCCTACCTTACCGTGGCAGGAAAATATGTCCAGATTTCGTTTTAAACCTGGATCTCCTGCTTTTAAAGCAAGCGCTGTAACTACTGCGCCATGGCCCAACCTTCAGGGAGTTGATGTAACTCTACATACGCCCAGATTTAATAATTACAAGTCTGGAGATCCAGGTGGTTATTTCTCTTTTGACCAGTGTTTTTACAGGTTCTCCTTAAGCCACTCATAGAGAGCTCTTTAACCTTATTCCTAATTGACCTTACTGGATTCTGAGAAATTCAACTCTGAACAGCCTTAATCAATTGAAGAATTCTGACTGACATCTTTAAATCACTTTCAAGCTTCCTTTAAACACAACCAGTCATATGAAAGTGTTAAATCACAATTATTTAGTATTATTATTAATTATTAAGTATTTAGAGGCTTGTTTATCATCTTGAAAAAGTCTTGTTGACCTGGGCCATTTTTGACCTGGATATTCATGACCAGGTCAACAAATTTTTTATTTATACTAGTTATTTTCTTTTTTTGGCTCTTTTTTTAGTTTGTTTTTATTTTCAAAGTTTTAAGTTTTATAGCCTGATAAAATATTTTTATCAGGCTAAAAAAAGAAAATAACTAGTATAAATAAAAAAAAAACTTTGAAAATAAAAACAAACTAAAAAAAGAGCCAAAAAAAGAAAATAACTAGTATAAATAAAAAATTTGTTGACCTGGTCATGAATATCCAGGTCAAAAATGGCCCAGGTCAACAAGACTTTTTCAAGATGATAAACAAGCCTCTAAATACTTAATAATTAATAATAATACTAAATAATTGTCAATAATATCAATGTGCATAAAAAAAACAATTGAACATTTATTTTGAAATTACTAAACTTGTTATGACATATGCTGTTGCATATGGTGAAATATTTTCTTTACTTCAAGTTTCATTTTATTTATTTATTTTTAAATTGTAGTGATTAAAAAACTGTTTGAAATTTTGTTAAAAGTTTTCTATATGTTCTTAAAAATTTTCTATATGTTCTTAAAAACTATTTATTTTGATAATAATAGAACTATTATTTTTTTAGAGGAGCTAAAAATAAACCTTATTTGACAACAGATCAACTTGTAGAGTTTCTTAATAACCGCCAACGTGATCCAAGACTTAATGAAATACTTTTTCCTTATTATAATATAAATGCTGCAGATGCCATTGTTAATACTTATGAACCAAACAAATCATTTGCTGATAAAGGTTTTTAAATTTTTTAATGGATATTTAAAATTTGCTGATAAAAGTTCTTAGATTTTTTAATAGATATTTAAGATTTTGAATGGATATTATAAAATAATTTTTTTTTTTTTAGGTTTAATTTCTATTGACGGTCTAATGAAATTTTTAATGAGTAATGATGCTAATGTTCTTTTACCTGGAAAGTTGAATATTCATCAGGATCTTTCATTCCCAATTGCCCATTATTTCATAAACTCTTCGCATAACACATATCTGCAAGGTGTTTTTTTTTTTAATTTAAAAGTTATTATGTTAAACTTGTCTTAAATTATTTCAATTAGATCTTTTATGAATTATTTTTGTAAAGACTTAATTCTTATGGAAAGTTTTTAAAACTATTTCAGAAAAAAGAAAGTTTTTTCTGTGATTATTAAACTTTAATGTAAAGTTTTCTATAAGATTTGTAATTTAAAGTATTAAAAAAAAAATTATTAGATATACCTCTATACCTCTTTTTGTCTAAACAATTAAATAATCCAATAGCTTTTGGAATATTACTTTTTTTTTTCAGTCTTATAACAAAGCATATAACAACATGCATATATATATATATATATATATATGTATATATATATATATATATATATATATATATATATATATATATATATATATATATACTGTGCATCATATTAGAACATTTTTTAAGTTTTATAGCCTGATAAAAATATTTTATAATTGCAAGTATATTTATTTAAATATGATAAACCTTTGCTTAGGCCACCAGTTAACAGGAAAATCTTCAGTTGAAATATACAGACAAGTTTTACTAGCTGGGTGTCGCTGCATTGAGTTAGATTGCTGGGATGGAAAAACAGAAGAGCAAGAGCCAGTTATTACTCATGGAATGACATTATGTACTGAGGTCTTATTTAAGGTAATGTTTGTTGCATTGATATAAGTTTCTAGTGTTTTCTACTTCATGCATACTTCATTCATACTCCATAGTACATGTATACAGCATACTATATGTTTACAGCAAACTACTATACTGCATAATGCATGTTTATAGCATGTATACTGCATAATGCATGTTTATAGCATGCTACATGTTTACTTCATAGTTTTGTTTTATAAAATAAAAAATTTTCAATTTCTTGTGTTAGTTTTTACATTATATATCCAAAATATTTTATTGTAATGATGTATTTTTTTATTGCATTTGAATTTATAAAATAAAATAAAAAAGTTTTTCCACTATGATTATGTTTATTAGAATAGTTATAATATTACAATATAGTTATAATATTACAATATAGTTATAATTCTATTAAAATAGTTATAATAGGCATCTAAAACATATCTTTAAAATCACTGAAATAAATACGAAAGCTTCTTTCTTATAAAATATAAATTAAAATGAAAAAATAACAAATACCAAAGTATATAGCAAATAAATGCTTATAAAAATAATAATACTAAAATGCTTAGTGGCCAATCATTACGAGTTTTATTACAGTAATATAAGTGGCAATATACTGGCAAAACCCTAGGATTGTTTTCACAAATAAAATTAAAAATGTATCAAGTAGTAGCTAGTTATGTTATTGTCTTTTTAACTAGGACTTATTCCTGCAAACTATTGTGGCTTATCATCAGTTTTCAATTTTTTAAAAATAAAATTGAATTTTTTCTTCTTTGAATTGTTTTCAACACTGTTTGCGTGCAAGACAGCACGCATCTGTTAAATGGATTTTTCGAATGTGACAATGTAAATGTGACACATTGGTAACAGATATGCTAACTCTAGACAATGATTACAATTAGGAAACTGATTCATGATTACTGCAAGTTATGAAACTAATTCAAAAGAAAATGAGTCTCATCTGCCTTTTTGCTGAGCATATTAAAAGTATCACAACCATCACATGCATAAGAGAACTAACTAATAAAAATATTACATGTATAAGAAAACCAACTATTGTCAAAACCAAGATTATATAAAGCACTTATATACAAGTTTACAAGAGAAGAGGCTTCACTTTTTATTAATTTGGTAAGATCAAAAACTTACAATTGATAATATTTACAGTCACAACCAAGAATTTGTAGACAGGCTAAATAAAATTAAATTTTATTAATATTTCAGCACATACTTAATTAAATCCAACATATTATGTAACAATTAAAAGGTTTTTATTTTTAATATTGCGCTATCAAGGAGTATTGGTTATTTAATTAACTTTATTTAAAGTGTAGTGATTGAGTTCAACTAAAGCTTTTTACATTTTTCCAAAAAAATTGCTAGTTTTTTGTAAACAAATACCTTGTGGAAATAATTAAAAAGCATTTTATTATTTCCACAAAAATAATTACAAATAGAAATTTGCTTCATAAAACAGTTCAGCTTTTTGTATTTGGTAAGTCTGCTGATGGAGAAATTATGAAGAGATATAAATTTACTAGATCTACAAAGAATCAGAAGCAATCAGGAAGGCCATGCAAAATAACATATCATTAGGATAAAAAGCTCATGATACTAAGCAATAAACAATTTAGTTTGACAGCTGTTGATTTAAATAAATAAATAAGACATATCTATGGAATAATTGTAGTATTTCTACTACAAAACTTTTATTATCTGCACCATAGATATTCTGGACATATATGTAAGAGCATTATGTTACCTTATAAAAAGGATAAAATGTATTGTGGATTGATATACCAACAAGATAATGATCCCAGACATACAGCCAAAATGTTTCAAGATTGCTTTGAAGTGGAATCTCAATTACCTTACTTAAATCTCCTTGTTTATTTTTAGAAATATGTTGACTTTCAAATATTTGGCATCAAGCTTACAAACTATGCTAGTTTATTCAGAAAAATCAAAGAAATATGGGACTTAATTTCTATTGATGTTTTCATTAATTTTAGTTGAGTTTTTTGCTTTATGCTATTCTCGGTTGTATCTTTATGCAAAGCTGTTCTCGGTTGTAAAGGATATTCTACAAATTAGTAATATAATTTTACATTAAAAAAAAATGTTGATCAAATATCCTTTAAAAAGTCATACTTTTTAAATATAAATATGTTGTCCGCAAACTTTTAAACTTATCAATAATCATTAATTTTTGATCAATTAAAAAAGGTTGATTAAATTATGAATATTTGTTAAAACATGGTAATAAACATCTTTTTTTAATTGGTATTTTCTAATATGTTGGCTTATTCATGACTTCATTAGTGAAGTATGTGCTGAAATATTAGTAAACTTTTTTTAGTTTACTTGCAAGCAAATTTACAGTGCAGATTTTTAGCAAATCATGGTAATGCATCATAAGTCCTCTTTTATTGTCATTATGTAAGAAATTGTTTACAAGCCTTTTTATTTTAATAACGATAGGATGGATTATATTAGGATGTGCATGATCTGATTATAAAATATGAAATAAATCGTGCTCTATCTGCGAAGATGTTAATTTTTTCAAATCAGAAAGTAGGCAATTCATTTTTGCAATGTGATACACAGGGTCAAAAACATGGTGTCTCTATAGCTTGTTTTTTTAGAATTAGAAATAGTTTTACTAGCTTTTTTTGCATGCTGATGAAGTAAAAGCATTTTTATTGATTGTTATTTTTTTCTTTTGTTTTATGATACTCTTTGATTTTACCAAACATTCATTTGCTACCCAGTTTCTAAGTATTTTACTTATAAGAAACTGTCCACTTGTTAAATGTCTTTAATTTTTCTTTCTGTTGTATATCAGTCCAGTAATCAAAAAATATGTTGTAGGATGTTTAAGATTCAATTGAGACTAATTAAAAAAATACATTTAGCTTATTTCTTTATTTATTTCAGTGTTGTTTTGCATTTACATTTATTAGTGTTTAATTTTTTTCACTTCCAATAAAACCAACCAATATTTAGTTTAAGTTCCATTAAACTGAATTTAAAAACTCTACAATCATTAGGAGATAAATAAAAGTTGCATAGGCCCTACCAAAGAGGCACAAGCAAAGACTCACAAGTATTCAAGAAGATTTAGCATTGATTATCTTTGGCAGAAAATAATGTGATGCATGTTGAAATCAATGCCAACCTATTCGATGAGGTGCAAGGCTGGTCAACAGCAACAGGATGCAGCTAACAATTTTCTAGGAAAAGTCATTTTATTAAGACACTATCCTTATAAAAAGCTCCAAATGTTCAAAGGTTTTTTATGTTGAAGTTAACTATTATTTGTTTTTTATATTGAAGTAACTATTTCCTTTATAAATAAATACATAGATCTAGAATTTATGAGAATTAACAAAAACCCGCAAAACTTTTTATTAATCAAGATGATTTTGGGTGCAGACGTTGCAGCTTATTCAAGATTTTCCACTATAGATCTGACTGAAAAAAAAAGTTTATATGTGATCTAGTACCAACCTGGTTTACACAAGGTTGGAACTAGATTACATGTTATTAGCTGGTGGATAATCATAATTATTGAGCAAGTTACTGGAACAAATTACTAGAACATGTTACTAAAACAAATTACTGGAAAAAATTACATAAACAAATTACTTTAATAATTTACTTAAATAAATTACTTGAACGAGCTATTGGAACAAGGTATTGGAATATTGTAACTGTTACAGTTAGTCAATCATCTTTATAATTAGTGATGAATAAACTTTTCTTTTTACAATATTCAATGTCAAGCAAAACAAGTACGTTCTATTTTTCATTCAGAATAAGGTAAAATTGAATATTTATAGTAAAAAAAAAAGTTTTTTTTAAACATACAAGACGCTAGGATGGCATCCCATCCCATGATATTCACTAAAAAATGTTAGTTTTCAAAATTTTAAAGGTATTGATATTATATCTTTTGGTTATAATTTTACTTTAATAAATGTATTTTTAGTCAGTGCTTATTAATATAAAATATTTAGAATGTAATAAATATAAGTTTAATTATTATTTTTAGCAATAAATAATTATGTATAACATTAAAAATATTTTTGTGATAATTAAAAATAATATCTTTACCAAGGATGTGATTGAAGCAATCAAAGAATCTGCATTCAAAACTTCTGAGTATCCCGTCATATTGTCTTTTGAAAATCATTGCAGGTATGTTATGTTAGTTATTATTAGAATTTTAAAAGAGTTAATGAAAAAGGTCAAATTTAAAAAGATATATATATTATATACCTTGCCTTTATATCTAGCGATTGCATTAAATTACATTTTTCAAAATAAAAATATAAAAAGTCGTTGATGTTACATTGATGGCTTTAATATTTTTATTGATGGTAGGCAGATACCAATGCATTGCTTGATGCATTAGCATTGGTCCTAAATTCAAATTCATACTCTTTTCTTTTTACTAATAGGTAAATTAGGATTTTTTTTTTAAATATAATGTTAACGGTCAATTTTTATACTAGCTAACTTTTGATAAAGTTTGCTTCATTTTAATGCTTGCTTATTTGCTAAAATTTGCCTAATGCTTAGTTGCTTTGCTCATGGTTGATTTATTTTTTATTTAATTTCATTTCTAAGTTTAATTGCAGTAGTGGTGTAGTGGTAGAGCGCTTACTTCATAAGTGAGAGGTTCGGAGTTCCCACCACGTCCCTGGTGGTGATCGAACTCCGATTTCATGTTTCTGAGTTATAGAGTTGAGAGAGAGTTATAACCACAAATAAGTAGCCTTCTCGTCTGTAGTGGCCTTCTTGGCCTTGAGGAGGTGAATTAACAAAAAAAAAAAAAAAAAAAAAAAATTGTTATTGATTACAATGTAACGAAATCTCTTCATTTGTGAAATAAATTAAAACAATTGTGTTGAAAATTATTGAGATTTGGAAAGAAGATTTGCTAGTTAATGGTATAACAATGTTAAAACACAAACCCTTAAAAATTTCCTTTCCATTAGTTAGAACACCCTTAAAAATGTTAAAACACAAACCCTTAAAAATATGTTTCATTTCCATCAGTTAGAACACCCTTAAAAATGTTAAAACACAAACCCTTAAAAATATATTTCATTTCTATCAGTTAGAACACCCTTGAAAATGTTAAAACACAAACCTTTAAAAATCTCTGCTTAAAAACAAAGTGATTTGAAGCCACTTTCAAAATAAACATTCATATTTTTAAATTCCTAATTGTTTTGTTTTTTTTTGCAAAAAAATTTTTTTTTTACGTTTTACATTACATTCACATTTCTTGATTTTAAACTGATCTTTCTGTATAGTTCGGATCCATAAGTTATATAATTGCTTTCCTAAATTATAAATAGACATTAAATGCAGGGAGATAAAAAACAGTTCAAAAAGTATTTATAGGTTTAGTGGTTGCAGATATGTCAATATAATAAGTTAAGCTTATATGTGTATTTTCATTTATGGAGTAATTATATTTTTGCTTATATAAAAACGCAAAAGAAAAAAACCTGGTTTTTCAAAACAATCAGCATCAGCCAATGGTTACCAAGACAAATGCTGATGCTCATGCATCGGCTAAATGTTCGATATATTGGCAGGCTGATACCTATGCATCGGTGCAACCCTAATAACTATAAATTAATAATATAAATATATAAATATAATTATAAATTATATAAACAATATATTTATATTTCTTTTAATTTGACTAAAAAGATTTATTACTTAGCATATTTATTGCACAGCAAGGTCATTAATTCATTCAAAAGTAACTTTGTAATATTTTATATAATTTTTTAGTGCTAAGCAACAAATGAAAATGGCCAATTATTGTCTTCAAATATTTGGAGATCTTCTACTTAATAAAGAATTGGATGAATACCCAGTAGGTTAAAAATTGCTTATTTCTTTTTTTTAAAAAAAAAGACAACTTTTTTATTTATGTTAATTTTTGAGACTATAGATTAACATAAAATAATTCTCTAAGACTTAAAGACTTATCATAAACATCTCAAAACATGTTATAATTATCTCAAGACATCTCAATTAATGCAATTCTTTTTATGGACAAAACATTTGTCACATTTACATCTTGTAAAAAGTAAAAAGTCTTGTTATGTAAACCATTTATATCCAAAAAGTTCTTTTGCATTATACCAATATGTGAACCAACATAGACTTTGTTGCAAAAACCCCATGTTCAAAAATAAAATTGGGAGATATACAATGCTCAGTAAAACTTGAGAAAGTTTGGTTATTGTGCTGACATGTTCACATATCAGAGGTTTTAGCCATGTAAGTATGACCAAGTATTTGTTTTAAGGTACATAAGTTTGCTATAGTTAACTCCACAATTTTTTAATGATTCGTTAATTGCATGTCCTTCAAAGTCTTTGAACATATATGCTGGAACATATATGCTCCAACATATATGCTGGAAAGATGTATTTATTTTTCAAACAGTTAAGGTATGGTGATGATATGATTGCTAAACTTATGTTCATAAATGGATGGAATTTCTATACACCTGCATGGATGAAATAAACACAATCCAGTTTATTCATGGCATGATTGATTTTAGAAGTGTTGATAAAGATATTGCTAACCTCTTGATTAACAAACTTCATGATCATCTATGGTACTTGGCAGAAGAAGTTGTCTTATTTGCCTTAATTAGTAAACATCCTTTGATTATCTGAAGTAAAAAAATGGTGCATTAATGCTTTTAACTCCAATACCAGAAAACCTATGCTTGGTAAGCCGTTCTTTAAAAAAGTTAGTGAAAAGTGTTACTGGTTTGGAAGTCTATTTAGTGACATTCAAGTTCAGAGGCTTTAAAGGACCCAAGTATTTTATTAAAAATCTAAAAAGATCATTTTTAGTGCTGATAATAAAGATAGAAAAAATTCACTCAATAAAGTTTTGCCACTTCATACTATATCCAGGACAACCCTACCTCTTATACTGTATAAATTTGATTGTTACCATTTACAGTACTAAGTTAAGTAACACAGCTCTCTAGTTAGATAGCTGTAATAACGTTTTTATTTTGGGCCCCCTTAAACTTGTTAATGTTGATTAGTTGATAAAAATATATTTTGCCTAATGTTTTGTTATAAAATGTTGTTATAAAATGTTTCTAGGATTATTTTGTGGTTTGGAATTTACTTTCTTGCTTTTCTATTAATTAATTTTGTTTCATATGTTAAATATCATTTTTAAAATTAATTATTTGCATTTATATTTTTAGTTATTACCAGGAACTCTCCTACCTAGTCCTAAAGTATTAAAAAGAAAGATCTTAATAAAAAATAAAAAAAGGGAAATAAAAGGTGGGTTTTTCACTTTTTGTTAATTTTATCAAAAAATTTAATTTATTTTGTAGGGGTGGGAGTTAAGGTTAGTTTTAGTCTAACTAAAGATACTTAACTAAATTTTTAGTCTAACTAAAATTAGTTAACTAACTTTTTAGTTAACTAAAATTAGTCGACTAACTTATTAGTTAACTAAAATTACGCGACTAACTTTTTAGTTAACTAAAATTACCCGACTAACTTTTTAGTTAACTAAAATTACGCGACTAACTTTCTAGTTAACTAAAATTACCCGACTAACTTTTTAGTTAACTAAAATTACCCAACTAACTTTCTAGTTAACTAAAATTACCCGCCTAACTTTCTAGCTAACTAAAATTACCCGATTAACTTTTTAGCTAACTAAATTTAAGCGACTAACTTTTTAGTCTAACTAAAATTAGTCGACTAACTTTTTAGTTAACTCAAATTAGTCGACTAAATATTTAGTGTAACTAAATTTAGTCGACTAAAGCAAGATTTAGTGCTTGAAAAAAGAAATAATCTTTCGCATAAAAATTTTACACACGAGGAAGCATTATTAAGGCGATAAATATTATTTTATTGAAGTTAAACACTTTACTAGTTGTGAATCCTAGAGCCCAGTCGAACTTAACTGTTATTTAAAAGAAATGTTTTAAGCAAAATTCGATTATTTTAATTTTTTCCCAGCTCTGAGACAACTGCCTATGAAGTTGTTGCAACTGTTTATAAACACCCAATCAGCATGGAATATACAAATATTGCCCTTTAGTCAATTACATCAAATTTGGTACGCTTATTGAACGTTTAACTTATATTTTTTATGTGCTGCTTCTTATAGGAAGTGTGCAATAACAATCGCAAATCAAAAATAATTTCTCCTGCCAAGGCCGTACCGACGTGAGTATGGGCACCTTACTGGGGTTACAACATTCTGTCGGTTTTGTCGGTAATTTAGAAAATTTGAAACTCAATCGGTTAAAACTGCAACTTGACTTTTAAATTAAAAAAAGCCTTACTTTGGTGAGATTTTTATGGTAAAAAAAGCTTATTTCATTTGCACCCCCCTCCCCCTACGTCTTCGTTGTTCAGTACAGCCCTGTCCCCTGCTGTATTATAGAAATAGATTCAATCTCTAATTTTCACAACAAATCTATGACTCCCCCTCCCCACCTCTTCAAATATCAACCTCTCCTAATGGCTATTACAACCTGCAAACACTATAGTAAGGCAGGCGAAAGTATTGACATGAACCCAAAAGAAAATCGTTAAATAAGTTATTATGAATTTATTTTTTTTGCTTTCAGAGTATAGTTGTTCGTCGAATGGCGATACCTGCAAAATTTAAAAGGAAAATTGGTATTTGCATTTTTGAATGCAATATCCGCAATATAAGTTGTTGAATAGTGTATAAAATGTATTAAATAATACTTAACTGTTGAATAACGAAAACATTTTATTAAGTAACTGCGGTCGCTTTTAAAACCAGGAAATTGTTTATGACATTTTAATTACTTGAAAAATGCAATACGTAGTTTTTAAGCACTTTAAAATACGTGTAAAACTGGGTCGAAACAATTATAAATTAAAATTAAATAACTTTTTTATTATATTTATTTTTATATTTTTTCATTAGATAGATGTTTAAAAAAATACTAAAGAATATATAAATAAATCTAAAAAAAACAACAACCAAACTATTAAAATAATAAAGGTAAAAAAGTTTGCTGTTTTAGGCAACATTATAATAAAACCGCACGCTCAAGAACATTAAAATCACACATTAATTTTTTTAATTTTCAATTTTTTCTTTATCTTTTTTTTTTAACACATTTTAAATTTAAAAAACTATATTAATTTTTTAATTTTTTGTATAAAAAAAAACAAAATCAGTTTTACTCAAAAGAGTTCGAATACTAAATTTAATAATATTTCTTTTAGAACAATAAATATATTAAAAAATATTTATTACAAGAAAAAACTTTAGTATTATATTTAATGAATTTAAACTAAATTAAAAAATTCCAAATTTTTGTACAAAAACATCAATATTTGAGAACATTCAGTTGTTATTCTGATTTGCTTTGCATACGTAAGTATAAGTTTGCATACGTTTCGCTTTGCATGCATAAGTGTTTAATGCCTCAGAGAAAAGGTGTTCACTTAGTGCACTGGTAGCAGGCGTACATAAAATCATTGTTGAAATACAATATATTATTGGATATACATGTTAGTTTTGATACCAAAAGTGTAAAAACATTTTGCTCATTTACTGACAATTTTGTATAACCACTAATTTCTCTTTTTAAATCTAAACTTATTATTTTGTCACTATCGTTTCCGGAAATATCATCTTCATCGTCAAATGATAACTTAAATTTTTTTAATTTGTTTGTCACCTTTTTAAATAGAATTATATCACAAACTTTTTTTGTTTAATAAAATTTCGACAAAAATTCTCTAACACATTTAAAAAAATTTTTTCCCTTGTACTTTTCAAAGAATTGAAAACTTTTATAATTTGGATCCAAAAAAGTGGCACATAATAAAACCAAGTAATTGTAATATACTGTAGCTTACAGGGCCGGCACAAGTAGGTAACACGTAGAGAGTGCCGTTAAAATTTTACTTACTAGAAATAGGAAAAAAAATTTCTTGTTTTTATTTACCAACTGACTGTTCTGAAAATCTACATTTGTTAACTAATTTTAGTTAACTAAAAAGTTAGTCGGGTAATTTTAATTAACTAAAAAGTTAGTCGCGAAATTTTAGTTAACTAAAAAGTTAGTCGACTGATTTTAGTTAACTAAAAAGTTAGTCGATTAATTTAAGTTAACTAAAAAGTTAGTCGACTGATTATAGTTAACTAAAAAGTTAGTCAACTAATTTTAGTTACGGTATTTTTAGTTTAGTTAGTTACAATTTTTAGTTTTGGTCACAACACTATTATTTTGTGAATAATGATCAGGCAACGGGATTTGTTAATTTTTTGTTTTTATTTTTTTGTTTTGTTAATTGCAAGAAATAATTTAGCGCCTATTTTTGTTGAATCTTTAACGACTTAATTGTGGTACCTCTAGAGTAGAATCTTTCTCTAAAGTAGAACAGGGTTCTACTATAGAGAAATAAAAAAAAATAATAATAATAAAAAAAAAAAAAAATCTTTCTCTAAGGTAGAACAGGGTTCTACTTTAAAGAAATAAAAAAAATAAAAAAAATAAAAAAAAATCTTTCTTTAAAGTAGAACAGGGTTCTACTTTAGAGAAAGATTCTACTCTAGAGGTACGGCAATTAAGTCGTTAAATAAAATTCTACTAATTTTTTTTTTAATCATATTATCATGTAAATCATACTTATCATATAAATCATTAAATAAAATTTTACTAATTTTTCTAACAACCTAAGTAATTATAGTAGCTTTAGAAGCTCTTTAGATAATAAATAGAAAATAGATATTTAATAGAAGAAATAGTAAGTTAATGTAAATCTATTTGATTTTTTGTTGTTGCTAAGAATGATGTAAAAAAATCTTCTGCACATGTTTTGAAATTGTTTTTTTAAACATTAAGATATAAACAACAGATGAAGCTGAATATCATAGATAAATCTTGTTAAATTAGATCTTGCTTAACAGTTACTGTATTTTGTTTTAATATTTTATTTTGATTTTAAATTGATAAAAAATAATTGAGATTGACATGTTTGGTCAACTCTTGTTTTTTTATTTTTACTTTTTATATAGTAAATACTTTTTTAACATGAAGAGCAAGAATTGTATTGTTTAAGTTATTTATTTTGTTATTATTTATTTATTTTATTATTAATAATTTATATCATTGAGTTTATATTAAACTTAAAGTTTTTAGTAACTTGATAAAAAAGTTTTAAAGTTTTCAAATTTTAAGAATAATTTTGAAATAATTTAAAAACTAATTTTTATTTTTCATTATATCAGACACAAAGAATGCAAACATATCTACTCAATCAGTTGATTTAAACTCCAGTGGAAGATTTGAACCTGAAGTTCTCAATATAGAAGAAATACCTGAAGATGCAGAAGATCTCTCAAAGTCTGAAGTAAATAACAGTTGTACAACAGTATGTACTAAAGTGAAAATCATATTTCTTTACTTTAAAATAATCATTCAAATATATTTTAGGAAGAGGAAGCGCCTGAAGTTGAAGCCCAACAAGAGTTATCTGAACTTGTAAATTATTTTCAACCTGTTCATTTTAGAGGATTTGAAAAAGCTGAAAGTTGGTTTAAAATTTTTATATTTTTTTATTTATGTTTAACTTGAATTAAAATAAGTAATTTAAGCGATAGAAAACATTGTATAAAAAAGGTAATATAAAAGTATTGTATATATAGATATAAATATAGTAATATAAATACTTAATAAATAGTAAATATATGGAAATAAAAATATGATGTAAATAATAATTTTTATAAATTTTATAAAACATTAAGCCAAAAAATAAAATTAAATTAAAAAAATAAATGGTTACAATTAATATTTTTCAGTATTTAGATAAAATATAATTGAACCCATCATTTTGAAAAAGGCAGACTTTTTCAGATTTCACTTTTTTGTGCCAAATTATTTATTGGAATTTTTTACATATTTTAAAAAAAGGTGCCACCACACCACAAGTCAATTTTTAAGCCAAATTAAAATTAAAATCTATTTAAAAATGACGCCCTGAATGCGTCAAACAAATCGCAACTGTCAGATGTGATTTATTAATTACAAAATAGAAAATTACAAGCTTGCCAAAAATGCTAATAAATCTAGAAAATATTTTCTGGTATAACTAACAGTGAAAATTATAAACATACTCAAATAAAAAAAAGCTCATAAAAATTATGAAGAGAATGATGAGGTAACAAGTCATATGGAAGCTTCTGGTAGGTTAGTTTTTCATTCTCATTATTTCATTCATTTGTTTATTTTAAAATAGGTAATAAATCACTAGATGATAATATAATTATTATATTATTTCCTCAAAGTTATGTTTATTGCTTTCTTTATTTACAGATGTAATTTAAAATGTATGGAGCTTATCTAAGGATGTTACTAAGTACTTAACAGTTTGTTAACAAATTTTTTTGTAAAAATGTTTTAGACACATACAAAAAGGAGAATAGGCAGAAAAATAGCTAATAATAATAATAATAATAATAAAAAAAAAAAAGAATAGCTAGATATAAAGAACCAAAAAAAAAGGAGTTTACCTTTATTTAACACATTAAGATAAACAGTGTGCCAAAAAACTTTTTACAGTATGCATGAAATTTAATTAGATGCTTATGTTATCCTTAAAAAAAAAGAGCAGCCCATAGATCACAGAGATAAATCTAAATGCGGTGCAACACGTTAACTGGTAATATATTAATTAGAGTACAGGAGCATATTTAGTCATTTCCTGTTAAACATGTGTACTTCAGTAATAAAGATCTTAGATAAAAAACTCAATTTAAAAAATCCGCACATTATACAATTAACTACAATAAACTATCCAGATCATTCTGTTAAATATAGGTTTAAATTTCAGTATTTTTCATTCAATATTCATTTAGTAAAAAGCAAGTTGATGTGGTCTGTGATATTTGTAACTGTGTTATTTGTAAAGCTGTGTGAAAAGTTAGAGATTAAACTAAAAAATCCACAAATTAATAAAAATCCAAAAAGAGACTATCAAGCAGTCAAAAAGAGTCTATCAGGCAGTCAAAAGAGTCTATCAAGCAGTCAAAAGAGTCTATTAAGTCTATCTATTCTTGTCAGGTCAGGCATATGGTCATCATGATCACCCTGCTACTGGTAGCATGTAATCCAGTGCAACCTGTTCCATGTCTTGCTGCCTTGTAGGGTTCACTTTCTAAGTAAAGGCTAGAAGAAGTGTTTTTCAATACTATCTATTAAATGTTTTATAACGTAGTGGTATAGACTTTTTTCTCTTGTATATAGTTGGAGGCGTCTAAGTTACTGTGTTAGCTCACTTGTAACTTACTATATATGTATGTTTTGTGTTCTATTAAAATCTCTAGTGGGAGTTCACTCACTATTAAGTTGCTATTTTTATCTGGGCTTGAATTAAGCGCATTGCAATTTCTTTTCACTCCATTGCGATTAGTTTTTTCTTAAAAAAAATATTTTTGTGATTTTTTATTTTTTATTGGTTTGTTTACTATTTTTCTAGTTTAGCATTTTTTTTTTTGGCAATACTTAAAACTAATGTTTTTATTGTAAAGTAAGTCACGCTAAATTTATTTTCTGAATAGATGATCATTTGTTCTTTGGCGCAGAGATTGTCATTCAATGTTAAACACTGTTGAATTTAAATAACTTAGTATCTCTGCATAGAAGCCAATAAAATTTAAAAGGTCGTTAAAGCGGATATGTGAAAAGACGTTAAATCGATTTTTTTCTTTATTCGTTTTTTTTTAACTTTTAAAAATTTTTTTAAACTTTTGGTTTTTATCTTTGTTAGACATTTAAATTACTACAGTTTTCGTTGCTAAACTTATCTCAATTAAACTCTTCTACTGCTTGTGGTCCAGACATCATTTCTGTCAAAGTCTTACAAAGTTGTTCTCCAGAACTCTCTTCAATTCTTTTTAAACTATTTACCAAGTGCTTGACAAAATCTTGTTTTTCTACCTGCTGAAAAATACTATCTGTGGTTCCAATCTTTAAAAACTCTGGAGATCATTCTGATCCTTTCAACTATCGCCTGCTCAGTCTTCAATCTGTTATTAGGTCTTTGAGTCTTTGATCAACAAATTGCTCGCACTCTATCTTGAGTCAAATAACTTACTCCCAGAAAATCAATATTTTTTTCAGTATTTTTGTTCTATGGCTGACTTGCTAACTGATTTGACTAAAAGATTCTATTTTGCATTAGATGGAGGCTGCAAAGGGCCTCTATCTAATGCACAATTGAAAAATTGTAACGAAAACTCAGTTCTTTACTGCAAACAACTATTGCAATACTGCTGACATTCCTATATTAACAACTATCTCACTGAATCTTCTTTATGTATTCTTGGATTATTGTTTACTACTGACCTTTCATAGAAACCATTTATACAATCAGTTGCATAGTTAACTTTACTATGGTTGCTTCTATTTGTTGTGCTTGTCATTATCTTATTTCCCAGAATAAGAACTCTATAAGTCTCTTATTTGTCTCTGTATGGAATACTGTTATCATATTTTATTATATTTTAAAAACAACTTTGCAGTTTGTTTTATTGTTGTTTTATAACTTTTTACAATAATAATTAAATACTCTTTAAAAATAACACGTGTTTTATCGTCAGCATGAACGTATTAAATAGTTTTCTATGACTAATTAAAGTGGTTTAAGTATTGTAATGTTTGCTTTTTGCTCTTAGTTTTTTACTTTTACTTTAAGTATCATGTTAAGTAAAAACAATTACTAAAAGTAATATCTTAATAGATAAATAATTGCTGGTTCTTTTAATGATGCTCTTTCTCATTACAATTCTTTTCTCATTACAATCTCTTACAATCTCTTTTTATGGGTTTTTGGACTAAGTACAAAAACCCATTGTAATTGTTGTTGGATCTATTTTTCTTGCTAAGCTTGAGCCTTTTTCCCATGGTTGTAAGGTTGCATCTCTTTCTCTTTACTACAAATAAAAATTATGGTTGCTGCTGAAAAGAGCTAATCTCTCTAGTTCTATCAAGCAAAATTTGTTCTTGCTTGACTCATCATTCAGCAAAGTCTTATTTTTTGACTGTATCTGGAGTTACTAAAAAACTTTGTTTTCTAATAACTTCAAACTTAATAGTATTTTCCCTGCAGTTTTGTTAGGAGTGAGTTAGAATTAGTGCAATATAAATGAGATACAATATTAAACCCAAATAGGTCACTCATTCCTACATATCTCTGTATAACCAAAAGAGGTCACTCAGTCCTACCAAATAATAGATTGTTTGGGAAAACAAAGTGGCATATTCAAAAAGCTGACACGATTTACACAACTGAGTATTAAAATTACCACACCTGTTCTAGTGGTAACATGTGAATCCATAGATCACTTACAATCAATTAATACTGCTGTATATACTGTTATGCTATATGAATAGGTACCAGACCACCCTTACCATCAAGTAATACTACATATGCTAGTAGTGCCAACCAATCAAAAAAAAAATCATATAAAAAATAGATTCAATATTCATATAAAATATGTTCAATATTCATTAGCAGGGTATAAACAAATTCTATACAGAGATTTTTTCATGACTAACAACTGACAAACAATGCATGCCAGGAAATAAAAGACAATTAACAATCAATTTTTCTGATAATGTTTAGATTTGTATGTACAAAGAAGAATTTACTTTAAAAAAGGCTTTAGTCTAGAAGTTGAAATTAAAATATTTTTATGATGTATATTTTTTTATAATGAATAAATTTTACAAAAACCATTTATAGTTTAATTAGCACCTTTGCCCTTTTTTTATTAGAAACATGTTTTTGTTTTTAAAAGTTTTAAATAATGAGCGTGTGTCTTTTTAAAATGGCTGGTTCAATTGTAGTTTTAGTTTTGAACTACTGATAACAATAAAATACAGTAAAAAATAAAAATATCTTGAAAAGTTTGAGAAAACTTTTCAATAATTAAAAAATTAAAATAAGAGAGTTAAATTAAAATGAGAGAGTTTCTGAATTTCTAATTCCTTATTCATTGGTCCTGATTTATCTAAGAATCTAGGTTTTTTTGATAATTGACATAAAGTGTTTTCTTTTAGAACGAAAATGTTACTATGAGATGTCATCATTTGGTGAAAATACTGCCACGAACCTGCTTAAGGAGCAACCAGTAGAATTTGTCAAGTATCCTTTAATTAAGTATTTCAGTTTTTTTTTGATTTCAGTTGTCAAAATGCTCAGAGTATGAAGCTGATGAAAATTTTTGAGACAAATCTAATGATTGTGTTTACTTATATATAGTAACAGAGAAAAATATCAACTTTAAGTTATGACCTATCTGTAACTCATCAAAGATAAGTTACTGATAGGTCATAGGTAAGCAACATTTTAGTATATTATAATATTAGCAGTTGTAATTAATAATTTCTAATAATATATAGTAAGCATATATTATATTTCTTTAGAAATATATTATATGATTAAATATATATTAATTTATATTAAAATTTATGTTTTTTTTTTATAATAAAAAAAGTATTTTTATTACTGTTTAAATCTAAAAGAGTTGAGGAGAACAAAGAAATTTTACTGAAATATTTCAAAACACAATGTAAAGATTTTGGCTTAAAATGCTTTTAATATTTTTCTTAACATTTCTCAAGTTATAACAAGTTTCAGAACAGCAGAATTTATCCAAAAGGTAGTCGTGTGAGTTCTGATAATTACATTCCACAGTTATTTTGGAATGCTGGCTGTCAAATGGTAGCATTGAATTTTCAAACCTTAGGTTAAATACTATTAATAATTTAATTGTAAATTTTTTAAAAGTTTTAAAAATGTTTTATGTGAGTTTTTACTATATGTTTATTAATTTTTTTTTTTAATTTGCTTTAAATAAATTTTTTTAAATTTGCTTTATTATGCGGTAGTGGTGTAGTGGTTGAGCGCTCGCCTCATAAACGATTGGTTCCGAGTACGATCCCCACCACGTCCCTGGTAGTACCGCGCTCAACTCGTTTCTCCGCGCAGCGGCCTTGCTCGTCAAGGTTCGTGTTTCGGAGTTATAGAGTTGAGAGAGGGTTATAACCACAAATAAGTAGCCTCCTTGTCTGTAGTGGCCTTTTCGGCCTTGAGGAGGTGAATTAAAATTAAAAAAAAAAAAAAATGCTGTGGTTATCGTGATTTATAACAACCAAAACAACAATTTTCAAGTTTATAAATAAGAAAAAATTTTTAATCTAGTTTTTTCTTCATAAAAATTAATACAAAATAGAAAAATACAAAAATATAATTTTACTGTTATTGATATTGAAATACCTTTATGAAATAAAATTTTTGTTAAAAAATTTTTGCGGAATTTATTTTTTAAAATTGGTTCCAAAAATGTAAAAATAAATATAAATATAGAAATATAAAAAATATATAATAAATATGAAATGATAATAAGGTTAAGGATAGTTTTTTACTTATACTACATGTTTTTGTAATGTATAATAATTGTTTGTAATGTATAATAATTGTAATGTATAATAAGTGTTTAAAAATATATAATAATGTATAATGTATAATGTATAATTTTGTAATGTATAATAATTGTAATGTATAATAAGTGTTTAAAAATATATAATAAATATGAAATGATTAAGGTTAAGGATAGTTTTTTACTTATACTACATGTTTTTGTAATTTCAAAATAAGTGTTTAAAAATGGCATTGAAGATACTATTGTAAACGTAAGTATGACAATGCAAGCCATGACAAAAAAATTTTTTGAACAAGATCTTGGTATCTAATTTACCCGAAACCTAAAACCTAAACAGCATGTTACAGCAAAAGCCAATAAAATGGTAAGTATTTTTAAAAAGACCTTTACCTCTTTTATATAGAAAAATCTCTACACAGCCTGCATCCGACTGCATTTAGAATATGCAGCATTGTGTCCCTACACCAAAATTATACCAGTTGCAGCGTAGTGTCCCTACAATGAAAATGATATAATGAAATGTAAAAATAAATCAATGAAAAGTAAAAAAAATTTCTCATGCACTAAGAAAGTATACTTTTATGTGCAGGCTCAAAATCTTCAATTTTACAATCCTAGAAAAATGTGTTAGAAGAGACCTAATCCAACGCTTTAAAATTTAAAAAAAAATTAGAAGTAGACATGTGCAGACTTTCTGCAAAGATCATTGAAGCAAACTATAAATAAAAATAATCATGAACTGTAATCAACTTTTGAACTAGACTTCCAGTGAACTAGGCTTCCAGACTACATTTTCAATTCTGAGTTTGCTAACCAGTTCAAAAGCAAGCTGGATTTGTACTAGAAACTACTATGGCATCTTATTAACTTTTAAAATGTTCTGTACAACCAAGTTGCATTGTAGCGATCATTACTAACCAGCTAACTTATTAACATTTATTAGTTTGTTTGTTTTTATTAGCAAAATATATAGGGTGTGTGAATGAGTTAAAAGCCTTTTTTTTCTTTTAATTCAAACTTCATTGGAAAAAAGTAGTTACATATAAGATATTTAGAGTATATTAGTATTAACCTTTTCCCATTTTTCTGACAGCATACAGATTCACTGCAAAAATAGGATTTATCTTTTTTAGCAATCCATAAATTTGTCTTACAAAATAAAGTAAATGTGTTGTGAATTGGAAAAGATAGTAATTGCGCAGAGTAATGTTTGGAGTATGCAATTGCACAGAATAATGTCTGGAATTTATGGAATGGGGCATGTTAGTTAAATATTTTTGGTAGTTTTTTTTAGTTCAAGTATTGTAGTACTGCAAAGTATTATGTTTTTGGTATAATGCAGTCGTTTTCCTTTGTTTGGCTCAATCACATAAATTGTGTTCTGTTGAAAGCTTTTGTAAAATGCTTCTGCAAGTTTCTATTCCGTTTTTGTGTATGATACAAAAAATCCATCTCCATTAAGCATAGCCTCTAAAATGGTAGCCCTAGATTATTCTGGCTGTTTGGATTAAACTTTGTCAAAATCATTTTTGAACAAATAAAAAAAAACTTCTGATACATTTTTCTAATAGAACATGATTACAATTCTCTTAAATACAATGGTTTTTCCATCATGAATCAATAATTTACACACTTAAAAAAAAAAAAGGTAAAATACTACACTCATTATTTTCATGAAAATGATAATACTGGTAATATAAAAAAAAAAGGTTTATATAAAAAATTTAATGGTTTACTGTTTTTTCTTTAGTATTTATATTTATGTTAGTATTTATAGTACATTAATGTTTGCTTGTTTATGTTTGCTTGTTTATCATTTATGTTTACTTGTTTATGTTTGCTTGTTTATCATTTATGTTTGCTTGTTTATGTTTGCTTGTTTATCATTTATGTTTGCTTGTTTATGTTTGCTTGTTTATGTTTGCTTGTTTATGTTTGCTTGTTTATGTTTGCTTGTTTATGTTTGCTTGTTTATGTTTGCTTGTTTATGTTTGCTTGTTTATGTTTGCTTGTTTATGTTTGCTTGTTTATGTTTGCTTGTTTATGTTTGCTTGTTTATCGAGAATATCAAGTAGTTTATTTGCTTGTTAAATTAATTCAATAAAAAAATTTGTTCATTAACTTTAATTAAAATTATAGCTAAAGAAGCGGTCAAAGGAAAGTTTTATTAAGTTTTTGTAATAACTTGTAGGTTAAGTTTGTTTAAATAAATTATAATTGCATAGTTAAAATAAATTCTATTCTATATGATATTGGTGTAAATACATAAATACATATGCAATTGACACAGTTTGATGTTAGACTACATGATTTATGCTTTCATTTACCTCAATTATTGACTTGAAGTTTTAATTTGCGTATATTTGCATATTTGCATATTTGCATAAATTGGCATATTTGTATATTTTTTAAAGAATTTTTGCAGTTTTAAAGGCTGAATAATTTTTTTCAATTTAGATGTTCCTATGCAGCTTAATCTTGGTAAATTTGAAATTAACGGACGTTGTGGGTATGATTTTTAAATACAGCTTGGTTTTATATCTGTTGGTTGCATATCTGTTACTTGCTTTTATATATGACTTTTTAAAAATCTTATGTAAAGATATTTTATTAATAACACAATGTTTTAATTAACATTGTGTTATTAATAAAATATGTTATTTAAATTAACATTTAAATAACATTGTTTTAATATAACAATAATTATATAATAATTGAAAGTAATTTTGAAAATACAATAAAATAAAAGTTTAGAAAGATTTAGGTTAGAATAAAAGTTGTTGAGTTTATAATATTGGTAGAAAGTGTATCAAACTTTAGAGAATTTGCTAGAGAAAAATAATTTTATAGCTAACAAACTGAATTAATCTGCTCAGCAGATAGTAAAAGAACGCAGAAATATCAGTTTTATTGGTTTACTAAAATATTTAATAAGCATGATCAGTTAAAATCACAAAATCAATTTAAAATGCAAAATCCCTTTAAACATGCATTAAAAGTAGCAGTAAAAGTATTTTTTTACCAGAATATACATGCTATATATTAGAAAATTGTTCTAACATTTTTTTATTTTTTTTTTACATCTTTGCTTCCAACAAGGTTGAAAGCAACCACTGCAAGAGTTGGAAGTTTCTGGAAGAGAAAAGATGATAGGGAAAGAGAAGTAACATTATGGCGATGTGATAATTGTTGAGCGTTGGTTGCAAGAGCAGGTCCAACTATGTTTACAATGCGTTTTTGCATCTTGTCTAAAAGAGAAAGGGCATTATTAGAAGATCCACCCCAGATATGGCAACAGTATTTCATGCAAGGACAGATTTGAGATTTATAGAGATAAAAAAAAGAATCCGGAGTAAGAAAGTGTCGAGCATGATAAAGAGATGCAACCTTAACAGATGCTAATTTTGCAATATATTTGATATACAGTTTCCAAGAAATATCGGAAATAAGAGTTAATCCTAGAAGATGAAGGGTAGATGACTCATCGAATACATTACTGTTCATAAATATAGGAAGATCTAAATTATTGAGATAACGATTGGCTGAAAAAAATTAAGTTTTATCTGAATTAAAGTTTACCAGCCACTGTGAGCCCCATGTTGTAGCAAAAGTGAGATCCTTTTCAAGCTCAAATGCCCCCTGCAAGCAATCAGAGGGAGTTGACTTCTTTTTGTGACAAGAATAAATGGTAGTATCAACAGTGAACAATGCAACCTTAGATGTTAGAATATCTGGAAGATCGTTAATATAAATTAAAAAGAGTATAGGGCCAAGGATTGAACCTTGAAGAACCGCTGAGGTTACAGAATAAGAAGAAGAGTGCTGTCCATCAAGGACAATTTATATTACGATTGGAAAGGAAGGATTCAATAATCTTAAAGATGTTTCTGGATACACTGTAAGAAGAAAAGTTATGGAGAAGACCAGCATGCCAAATATTATTAAAAGCTTTAGAAATGTTAAGTGCTATAGCCTTAACTTCTCAATTTCTATCTAATGTACAATAAAACCTACCAGTTATTACTGTTAGCAAATCAGCCACATAATGAGAAGATCAAAATCCATATTGATGATCAGAAAGTAAGTTATTGGATTAAAGATAAAAGATTAAGTTTTTTGTTAATTAAACATTCAAAAACCTTGCTTATGATAGGATGAAGACTAATGGGACCATAGTTAGACAAGTCAGATTGCTCTCCAGAATTTTTCAAAATGGGGATAACAGATGCCGCTTTCCAGCATGCTGGAAAACAAGACTCCAATAAGCACTAGTTAAATAGTTTTAAAAGTATAAACGATAACTCCGTAGAACACTTCTGCAAGACTACAACAATATACCAATATTTTGAAAATTGTGTTATTTGGAAAGAAGAATTCGTAAAATTGTTTCAGCAAATGTTTTTTAAACTTATTATTTCTGAGATGTATTACATATTGAGAAACTTTTTTATTTTAATAAACATATTTCAATAATTAGATAATATATAACTACATTCAGAATGTAAAAATTTATTCTAAATAATCTATAAATCTATAAAAACTATAAATCGCAAAAATTAAACATTATAAAAAGAGAAAGTTCTATATACTGAGTGAAACAGTTGATAGTAATAAGTTAATATGTTTTTTTATTTTTTATTTATTGCTTAAAGAGAAAAGACAATCATTCTTTAAATCTATGGTCAATAAATTGTATAAAATTTGCTATAGTTTGCATCCATATCAAAGTTGCATCACAAACCATTGCTCTTATTTTTTGTTGCTCAAAAATGTTTTTAAAAATTGCAGTTATGTTAAAAAAACCATTTATGAACACATAAGAATAAAGAATGTTTTAGTCTCCTTTAACTTTTAGAGCTGCTTATCTTCTTAGAGGATTTTGATAGAGAATTTATCTTCTTAGAAGCATTATTTTGTGTCACCACAAAGTAATGCCTTTAACAACAGGCAGTTCAGTATGATTTACTGAACTGCCTGTTCAGTAAATTTATAAAAGTGAGGTTAATTCTGTTGTAAACAAAGTTGTATTGAGTGTACAATTATACAAAATATAATTACAAAAATAAAAGCTTTAGAAATACAATTACAAAATAGTAAGAATAGTTCTGTTGTAAACAAAGTTGTAATCAAGTATGCAATGTTAAAAATCTTATAAAAAGTAACATAGTTTCAGGTTTTGTATAATTTTCTTTTTAAAGTGTTGTCTGTAACTTTATAAATAAATAGTTTTTAAGATTACCAAAACTTCTATTCATGAACAAAATATGCATCTTTAAACAGATGGCATTTGTTTAAAAAAAATTGAATTTTCTATTTAGAATATCATAGTAAATATTTTAAATATATAGGTTTGTAAATTTTTTTCCTAACCAACTGACATTTTAATCACAAAAATATTTATTTAATTTTTCATCAAATATTTGTTTATTTGTTTTAAGGTATTTATTAAAACCTGAACACATGAGGCGACACGATCTTACATTTGATCCATTTGTTGATTCTACAGTAGATGGCATAATAGCTGGTACTGTACAAGTCAAGGTATAAATTTGTTATAATTTATCTTTTTTAAAATAAAATATATTTCATGTCTAAAGTTTGGAAAAAAGAACAAATATTTAATATTGGAATTTAGTGTTCAAAAATAAAGTTTTGGGATTATTGCATGCTAAAAAATAAAAATATAAATCATTTAGTTCAATTATAAAAAAGGTTTTTAGCTTTCCTGGAATCCTCTGGGTAAAAGTGACAGCAGAATATCGCCATATATAGGTAATATTTCTCTGGATATATCTTTTATCTTAGATAGTAATGATATTAGTAATATATTTGAGCTGTGACCAATAATACGGTGAGTGTAAAACAAAATCAGAGATCAAACAAAAAGCTTTTGTTTATACTAATGGACTTCATTTAACAGTATGCAATTTTCTTTACAAAAAGACAAATTCTTCAAAGGCAAAATCTGATTCTGAGGAGAATTTAAGTGATTGATGAATT